GGCCGTGCATATCACCATTCTGGCCGTGCACCTCAAAACGCGGCGTATCAATTAGTTGAACCTCAGCCAACTCGCACGGCCAGAATTGTATGTTGCACGGCCGTGCGGATTTCACTTGTGCCCGTGCGTGCCCACGCACAATCCCGCACGGCCAAACTGGTCACTTGCACGGCCGTGCGTGGCCACGCACAATCCCGTGCGTGCCCACGCACGATCCCGCACGGCCAAACTGGTCACTTGCACGGCCGTGCGCGTTGTGGGTGTGCCCGTGCGACTTCCTCAGAACCTCGCCATGCGTCCGATCCTCGTCCAATCGACCCCAGACTCGCTCCTAAGCCTTCATTCACGTCCTAGGACCTGAAATATCACAAACAAGCACAACCTACCGTGAAATCGGCCTAAAACACGAGAATCAACACCTCAAACGGTGTAAGAATGGGGGTAAAAACATGTGTAAATAACGGTCTATCACCCACTTAACCATGCGCCCGGCCACATCCATGGATCCCAGTGTGCTCCTCAGTGGCAAATTTGTGAGGATTGTCATGGAGTGGGCCTGGAAGTAGGGTCGCAACTTTTCTGCCGCAGTGACCACTGCTAGACCGGCCTTCTCGATGGGCGCATAACGGGTCTCAGCTCCCGCCATAACCTTGCTCACGTAGTACACCGGCCTATCTTCCCCACTTTCCGCCTCCTTGGAGACGAGCGCTGACCGCCATTTTCGACACCGCGATATACAAGTAAAGCGTTTCGCCCCTCTTCGGAGCGGTCATCACAGTAGGGGCCATTAGAAGGGTCTTCAGCTGCTCGAACGCCTCATCGCACTCTTCCGTCCACTTGAACCGGGCGGCCTTCCTTAGCACTCGAAAGAAGGGGGCGCCCTTATCCGCTGAGCGGGGTATGAAGCGTCCCAAGGCGGCTAGCCGTCCGTTCAGACTTTGCACCTCGTTAGGTGTGCGGGGGGGTTGAAGGCGCCTTATTGCCTCCACCTGCCTGGGATTAGCTTCGATACCGCGCTTGGTGATCATGAACCCCAAGAATTTTCCTGCTTCCGCCCCAAACACGCACTTCAGGGGATTGAGGCGCAGGTCATGGGCGCGGAGTGCTTGAAATGTCTCCCGCAAGTCCCCCAGATGATCCCCTCTCCGCTTGCTTTTCACCACCAAGTCGTCCACGTATGCTTCCACGTTCCGCCCGATCTGATGCTGAAAAACTTTGTTTACCATGCGCTGGTATGTAGCCCCCGCATTCCTCAGCCCGAATGACATCACTCTATAGCGGAAGTTACAGAACGGAGTCATGAATGTCGTCTTGTCCCTGTCCTCTTCACACATGGGTATTTGGTGGTAGCCCGAGAACATATCCAGGAAACTGAGCGCCTCGTGGTATGCCGTCGCGTCCACTAACTGGTCAATTCTTGGCATGGGGTATGCGTCCGAGGGGCACACCCTGTTCAAGCTGGTGTAATCTACGCACATCCTCCATTCCCCCGATGCCTTGGGTACTAGCACCACATTGGACAGCCAAGTGATGTATTTGGCTTCTTCCACGAACCCCGCTTCGCGCAACTTCCCTACTTCTTTTCTCAGCGCATCCTCCTTCTCTTGCGAGATCGGGCGCCTCTTCTGTTGGATGGGGCGCACGTCTTTGGCTATGGCAAGTCTATGCTCCGCAACTTCCGCCTTCACACCGGGCATCTCCTTCGCGCTCCACGCGAACAAGTCTGCGAATTCCCTCAAAAGGCCAACTAGCGGGCCCAATTCCTCTCCCGTCGTGTGCGTCGAAACACGGACTCATCTGTCAGGGCGTAGGTCATCCAGCGGCACATGTATCTCTTCGTCTGCTGCTTCTGCTCTTGGCAAGTCTTCGGGCCTTGTGTCAATATTATACATCCGGCTTCTCTTGGCGAGGCGTGCTTCCGCAGAGGCCTCACCCCTTGATATCCCGATGCCCTCCAGGGTGACAAATTTTAGGACTTGGTGACAAGAGGAGGCCACGCCGTTAAAGAGTGCCAGTAAGGGGCGCCCCAAGATTGCATTGTATGGCGAGGGGCAGTCGACTATGCCAAAGTCCACTGTGTGCGTCACACAAAGCGTCCCATCGCCTAAGGTCACGGGTAGCCGCACGCGCCCGATAACTTGGGCGGGCGCCCCGGAGAACCCAATCAGTACGGTGTCTGTTGGTGTCACCATGCTAGGTGTCAACTGCATTTTCTCAAACGTGGAAAGAAACAACACATCCATGGAACTTCCAGTGTCGACCAACATCCTTTTGACCTCACAACCGGCCACTACTCCCCGGATTTCCAGCGCCTCGGTGGAAGGCGTTCGGCATGCTTCTTCGGGCACCTCATTGAAGCGTATTTGAATGGCCTCACGCGCGCTCGCGGTGGCGGACTTCAGGCGCCTCTCTTCCTCCAACTTCTGCCTCAAGTCTATGGAGCCAGTGATGGCCTCGATGGTCAACCTCACGCGGCTTGGGTTTTCCTCTTGCTCCACGTTGAATGGGGGCGGGGGTAGGGTAGCTCCTTCCTTGGGTGGGTCGTCCTCCGCCTCCTGCTTCTCGCCAGGCGCCCCTACTTGTTCCTCCCGTGCGACAAACGTCCTTTGCGCTCGGTCGTCCTTTTTCACAAAGTCGTTCAGCATGCCCCTGTCCACCAATCCCTGTATCTCGGACTTCAGCTGATAGCAATCCGCAGTGTGGTGCCCCCGCTCTCTATGGAACTCACAATATCTGTCTAAATTTTGCTCGTTCGAGCGCCCCCTCATGGGGCCCGGCCACCTCAAGTGATAACCCTTGTCCTTCGCATATTGCAACACGTTTTTCAATGTGTCGTTTAGCTCTGTGAAATTTCCCGCATTCTTCGGCACAGGCCTCTGAGATTCCACCCTGCGCCCTAGGAAGGGCATACTGGGCGCCGCCATTGGCAGGCGGGGCGCCTGCGCTCGGTAACCTTCCCCTTCCTCCGCCTTGTTTTTGCGCCTATCGAATCTTTGAGCCGCAAGCGTCTCCTCTAGCACAATGACCTTCTGCACCCTTCTATCGAGATCCTCAGTGGACGTCACGCCTCTCTTGGAAAGCGCCCGACACAACTCTTCACTAGTCGTGCACTCATCCAGGCAACACCCCAAGACGGGGGGCTTGACATCCTTCACCGCCATGGCTACCGACATCCACCGTTCGTAAAAATCACGAAGCGGCTCATTTTCCCTTTGACGGACCTTAAACAAGGCGCTTATCGTAAGGGTCCTGCGCTTCCGGCTAGCGAACTTCGACAGGAACAAGGAAGCAAAGTGCTCGAAACAATCGATACGTCCCTCCTCTAGTTGGTGGTACCAGTCCAACACTACCCCCGTGAACGTGGAGGGGAACGCCCGACACATCGTGGCGTCCGAGCTGCTGTACAGCTGCATCTTGGTGAAATAATTGTTCAAGTGGTCTTCTGGATCGGTCGTCCCATCATAACTTGGTAACGTTGGTATGACTGAGCTTGGCGCCTCGGCAAGAACGTTCCTGGACAAGGGCTGTCGAACTCCCCAACCTCTTCCTGCACGCCTCTGTGCCCACCCGTTGTAGTCGTCATAATCCGATTCCAAGTGTCGGGTCAGGTGCCCCATCTCTTCGGTGCGCCTCATGAGGCTGGACGCCCCATCCCCCTCTTCGTCTCGCTCCTTTCTCTTCATGCCAGGCGTGTTCGGGTCGCCTCCGTTCTTCTTGAGCGCCTCAATTTCCTTTTTCAAAATCTCTAGCGCGTGATCTTGACTCTCGATGATCTGAAGCAACTCCTCTTTTGTGAGTGAGGCGCCCTCTGCTTGTGCGCTCTCGTCCACCTTCGGGCTCCCTTTCCCATCATGCTCCTCTGCCTCTTTCGTCATTTCCGTTCCCTGATCATGAGGCTCGGCTCCTCCCTCTTCTCCTAATCCTCCGATCTCCATACGCCTTGGTTATATTCCCCTATCTGGCGCGCCAATTGTTTGACCCTGAGAACCTCCTTCGTACGCCTCGCCCTCCTATCCCCTTGGCCCTCCTGCGCCTTGAACCTCCTGCACCCACACAAGCACCTAGCGGACCGTGTGGCCCGTTAGCACTCCGACGCTCAAGTAAGAACCTACTCGTTTTAGAGAGAGAAGTGAATGAATAGTTCTAGTAAGAGAAGTAAAACTGAGTAAATGAGGTTCACCTACTTGACTTATTTATACCCGGGGCGAGGGCGACCGGTACACGTCGCCCTCGCCCTGTGTCAGGTCCCAAATAAATGCACCGTACCTCCCCCCGCACATGCGCCTCGACCACCGGACATCCAAGCCAGAGATCTTAGGCGCATGACATCACCCAGTCAGCTTTTCGTACACTTAAGACCGTTGGCTACTTTTGTCTTATGCGCCTTCCCTGGAAGCATGGTCCCACCTGTCCCCCACATCCTTCTGACCAGTCAGACTCCTGTCCGCGCGCCCCCTGGCCCAAGAACTGTACTTCCCATGGGCTCGTCTGTGCCTCTCGGTTTGGGCCCATGCCTGCCCCCCACTTGCATCTCTCATTGGGCCTTTCTTATTGCATTGGTCTTCGGCCCATACTTACTCCCCCAACAACATGTATATTACTATGCATGCATTGATGACAATACATCTATTTAACTATCACCAAAGCCAAACGACACCATAGTTTTTGGCCTTTTCTTCTATCCGTCTCTGGTTGCAATTCTACTTCTAGAGATTAGGGATAGCTCCGATAGCTAACCTAAAAGGGAAAATAATTAACCAGATGGACTGAGAGGATTCTGAAATGAGGACCACGGGGTAATCTAATCCCTATGGCTAGGGGCCGCAAATCTTCAGTAAAATATTAGTTCAAGTTGGTGAGTCGGTGGGCTGCCCTTGTCATTCCTTCATCGTCTTGCTTAATTCCGGCTGTTTAATTAGTATTAAGCATTTATAATCAGGATTTGGGAGATAATAATTAATTCCAGTTTTACAGAATAATAGTTTGAGGATTTGAGATAATGAGATGGGCCGGCTTGATTAGACAAGCCAAAAGGATTAGTTAGATCTTTGGTGGGCAAATCGCACAGGACACATGACCTCAGCTCAACTCAACTCCTTTGCATTGCCCAACAAGTTTCAACTGAAAATGACTCCATCCATTAAAATCCTTCATAAAACCATAACTAAGCTTTTAGCATAGTAATTAGCTACCGGTTGATTATCACACCGTCTTCGGACCATTCTGAGTAAACAGAGAGTACCATAAATGACAAGGAGACAACATGGCGAGTTCCCGCAAGCCTCTGCTCCTATTATTGAAGTGGTGGCATTATTGAGAATCAACTTTTTTTCACATCAAGAATCTTTTGTTCCCAAATATAGAGTGGATTCCTTGATTCTTGTTGGTGGGTACTTCCCATGTTCTGAACCATCAAGAGTGCATCCCCAAAATGTTCAATCGGATAACAGAATGTTTCAGAGGAAAGTTCTAAGTTGTGGTTTAGCAAATCAAGTATGATATTGGTAATGCATTGTTCGATGTTCAATACTTTTTTTATATTTTATTTGACTGGAAACGCTTGTTAGATTAGATTCACATGAATGAATAAACCGCTGAATGGTCGGGTAGACAAAAGGTGTTGAACAATACATGTAATATGAAATTACGCGCGGTAAGAAATATAAGATATTTGTGTCGAAATGAAATAAGAAAAATACTATAATACACTACAATTTTTTAAAATTACCAAGGTGATGAAATTAATTACTCCCAAACTAAATTTAATGTTTCTTATCCATTTTGTGGTTTTAAAAACGGGTCCTTACCATCCTTCACCGATTCAGCCAAATTACCACAAAGACAGCAGCATTTTGGGGACGTTGAATCTTAAGAACACCCAAAACAAAAATGCAGAAAGTAAGTAAGAAACAAAGCAGAGGAACAGAAAAGGACAAAGAAAAGAAAAATAGAAATCTCAGGAGAAAAGAGAGTTCTTCAGACGTCAGTGCCAAAGCAAACAATTAACAATGTTAAACATATAGATTGTTGGGTAATCACGGCAGACCCCCTTAATCCTAATCCTCTTTTAAAGAAACAAGAAAAAGGCAAAGTAAGCAGATTAATTAACAATAATCATCAAATTATTAAAAGAGGCAGAGTTCTACTAGTCAATTCCTTTCCCCCCTAAGTTGCAGAGCTGTGCAAGAATTGAGTATTGACCCAGGCTTAGGCTTCGAATTTGCAGAAAACAAACGGATGAGACTAAACCCAATAGAAATTTCAGAACCCTACCTCCGTTTAGTCAATCAGAGGTCGCAAGCATTGAATCTTAACAATGGAACTAAGAAGCTTCTAGGCTGATCAAAAGTTGTGTTTCGCAATCCAACAAAAAGAACACAGCCGAGTGAAGAAAACCCAGCGCAGAGAAATAAAGTGACCCAGAAACAGAGAACCTTTCCCCGGAAAAAGTACCGCCTCTCTGCATCCACAATCGAGCTTGCAATTTCTACAGAGTTTGTTTATACAACCACATCAACGAAATCCTCACTTCCTATTGATAATAACAGAAACCCACATCACGGGAAAAAAACCCTTTCTATCTCCCAACTCTCACACCGCCACCGCCACCGCCACATCCATATACATCTATTACTCTAATTGGTGAATTTCAGCAAATGACACAGCCGTTGGGATTCTCGTCGGGACTCACCAATCGGTAATTGTAATTCAGGTTGTGGGGATGATTGTAAGACGGCTGCGCCATGTACGGATAAGGCTCGTAGTTGTAACCCACCGTGTAAGGATGAAACATCTGCGCCTGCTGCTGGTTGGCTTCCTTCTTCTTCTCCGCCTCTTTCTTCGGGTCCGGCTTCTTCTCGTCTCCTTTCTTCGGGTCGGCTGGTGGTCCGACCGTCAGTATATCACAGTGACAATGGTGTTTCTTCAGCTTGGTAACAATTTCGATCGGATCTACGCTCCCAATGACGGTCATCTTGCTCTCCTTCATATCAACGGCAATCGAATCGATCCCTGTAGTTCGAGAAGAGTTTGATTCAGTCAAAAACAGGGGAAAGAATGAAAACAGAGGGGAAGTGAGATTAGGGGAAAACAGGGGAAGGAAGGAAAACAGAGAGGGGGAAACCTGGGAGAGTGGAGACAGCCTTCATGATCTTCTGCTTCGTCCTGTCATCGTGTACGTCGACCTTGAGAACCACTTTCTGTAACGAGAAGAAGGAAATGGAGATTAAACCCAGAAATTTTGATTTAAGAAAAAGAAACAGAGTAAGATTGGTGATTACAGTACCTTCATTGTTGGAGGGTGGGTCGGAAGCAAGGCGGCGAGAAAGAGAGAGGGAGGAAGCAGCTAGCGAGCAGAAGAAGAATTGCGTGTGGGTGTTGGTTCGTTCTGAGAGAAATCAAAAAAGGGGGAGAGTATTTATATTGCAGGGCCAGTGGTGGCAGGGAAGATGGGTTCTCTTCTCTTCAGCCTGTACACAGATCATAAAAGAACAATTAGTTGTTTCTAACGAAAAAAAGTAAAAGACCGAAAAGGACAAAATATGTGAAGAATAGGGAAACAAATTGGAACCTGGTGTAGGGGTAATTAGGGTTGCTATTCTTTTTCTATGCTACAAGCCTGCAACTGGTTTAAAACCCCGAAACCGGTTGGGTTTGTGTTTGGGGGGGCTTGGAAAATGGAAAGTAAACCTGCGAGGAGAGGACTGACCGAAACCAGAACAGACCCGACTGACCTGACCGGTCCTTTTAATTGTGTTTCTGGTCTGGTTCGTATTTGGGCATGGTGTCATTTATTCGTTTTCATGGTGTTAAATTTAATTTCCCCCCCCTCTTATTTATGTAGTTTAATTAATGCTAATTATAAGCAAGTGGGCGGGAAACAAAGAGAGCATGTGGCGGTGGGGAGATCAAAGTCACCGTTTTAGCCTTTTTTTGGGGAGGGATTTACATGACCCAAATGTTACCATGCATGTCACATGGTCTGACAAATAAAAACCAACACTTAATCATTACTATTTTGATCGTAACAGAACATAGTTTGCTGCATAGGTGGATGAGATTGCGTGATTTCTAATTGGTTGAAGAAATTTGAAGAGCAATGTAAATTATGTTTATTACGGGATTGTATAATATTTATGTTGATATAAATTTTATTCGAATAACTGTTTAGCCAATTTAATTTAGTGTTTATCCAATTCTCATTCTATAAGTGACTTATAAGTAATTGATCGATAATTCGAATGAATTCAACAAGTCTCATTAACACCTAACATCTTACGCGACACTCATTTTAATAACAGTTGTGTTGTGCCGAATATAAAACCCAAAACACCACCTAGAATTGCATCCATGTTTCATCCATCCCTTTCTTTCACAAAGCTGCCTTTCTGTCTTCGTTTTTTTCGTTCTGTGTGTGGAAAATGAAATGTTGTTAATGATTGTGATTTATGGGACTTGATAAGAACTTGCACTTGGGATGAAGCTATGAGCAATTTTCTTGTTTGGGGTGTGTGCGGGACCCACCTTTTTCTATTTCGTTTTAGTGTTTCTGCCACGTGGTCTCTGTGATGCTGTGGGGAAATGAAGGTGTATATTAATATAACAATATAGTAAATTAGTAATTCCTCAGTTTTTACAGGTTTGGTACTAATTTGCATGAAAATTATCAAAGAAAAAGATTCTCTTGGTTAATTGTTGATGGATGGCGGAGTTACTGGAGAGTTGTGGCTCTCTCTCTCTATCTCTTCTTGTTAATCGTTAAACACTAGATCAGTTTATTAACTTATTTGATGAGTGTTTGGTTTTGGGGTTTTGGCGCTCTTGATTCGTAATAATTAGCAACTACAAAGCCGTTTTTTCCAATAATTCAATGTTCCAAACATTATTAAATATTAACCCTGTTCACAGAAAAAACCTCTCTGGCAATTAAGTTTTGTCTACGTGTCCTTAGAAATTAGAAAACCAAGCTCAAACAACAAGCCATGGTCACGCTTAATCACATTTTTAAAATCGAACTCTTGTTACAAAAAAAAAAACCATTTTCTATGCTGCAGACCCTGAATATAGACAACGTTAGATCAGAAGAAGGATTGGCTCCGATGTGGAGATCCAACTGCTGACCGCCCAAAGATTAAGATTGTTACTAATCTTTTATTAAGTAGGTCTTTTTCGTTTCATTTTTTACATTAAGAAAGATTATAATTAGGGGCGGCGGCCGGTAAGACATCTCCCATTCCTGGCCTCCTGTGAGAGATTAAGCTGATTAACCACTTTGCAAGATTTATGGCCGCAAGTCTTTTCTTCTCTTCCTCATATTATATGTTTTGTTGGGACTCCCTCCTAATTTAATTGTGTGGGTTTGAAGTCTTGACTCTTCGATTCTTAAGAAGTTTGTTTAATTTGGGTATTGGTCTCCTGGACAATGACATGAAACAATTGAAACCCCACCATACTGTTGTATATATTGTTAACTAGAACAAGGGGAAGGGTAAAACATGCACGAAGGTCAGTATAGTCTCGATTCTCTAATATTTGTTTTTTAGACGTGATTTTCTCGATTATAAATCGTTAATTGATATTATCTGATTTACATGTGTCAATTTTGTTGTTTAATTTGACAACGTATCGAAAGATACAACCAGCTGACTATAGAAAAATGTTAAAAGGTACTATTTGCTTCGGTGGAACTTTCCGAACACAGAACATATATGACACCATATAGTCCTAATCATGGCACCTCAGCCATCCCTTGATATGCCTACCCTTTGTACTCACTTTGACAAGAGTATTGAATAAATGTGATTACAAAAGCTTGAAGGTGGAAGATACTTACTAATGCGGTCTCAAAGACCTTTCAATTTTAGCTACTACTACGTACTCATCTCACATCACTCATGTATGTTAGACTACGTCGTGCCGGAGACCAAGTTTAGTTTAGTGCCCAATTGTCAAATCTTATCGATATGTAGTAATGTTTTACAATGAAACTATCTATATCATGGGACTGAAAGCTGATGGTAAGGAGATCGAACAAGTGGTGTTTAAGATCGATCCTGGAAACCCCTATGACAGGAACATATAATGGGTTTTCATAAGAACAACAGGCGGCTCCCCTCAGTCTAGATGGTTATGGATTGGTACGTATGTAGTCTCAACTTGGAGTGGTAGTTATTATTATTCATTAAACCATGCAACTAGTGGATAATTGTTATTGTTTGAGGTGACGTCGAATAGTCGGGTGAAGTAGGAAACTGATCTTCCCTACGCAAGCAAGAGCAAATTAAAAAAACATGTGTAGAGTGTCAACTGTGTGTTCTTTTTTCCATGGTGCTGCGGTTGGTCGGATCCTCACCAGTAAAAGTTTACCAAGAAGCCAACAGAAAGGTTGGAATTAGTTAGTGCACGAACATTACTTTTCAAGACACTCCAATGACTTTTTCCAAAGTCTTGTGAACAATTGGAATGCATGGAGGAGGAGACAGATATGAGATTACCACTTTTCATGTGTCCCATCTCTAAATCTTGGATCATTTGCTAGATTTGGGGTGGGTTGATGCTTGTATGTCCACGTTTCAAATTAAACAAATCATGCAATGATGATGATGATGATTATAACCATAATAACACTAATAATATTGGGGGCATGGTAGACCATCAATTTAACACATATATATGGTTATGTCTTCGGTGCACTCACTTTTTTTTGTGCATTCAATGCACCTGCCTCATAATCGTCATTCTGAGCAGGCGATTCATGTGAAAACGATGTCAATCATCACTTGTGGTATGATGAACAAGAACCACATGAATTTGTACAAAAATAATTCAAGATTCACTTTAATTTGAATGATTCAGGGTTTAGGAATTTAGGGTTAGGGTTTACAATTTGGGATTTTGGGTTGAGATTCAAAATTGAAGGTTAATAGGTTAGGGTAACGGGTTGATTAGTCGGGATTCTATGTTATATCATCATATTAGACTAATACAACCCATTAAATTTCAAAATTTAATGTATTATGACCACTTTTAGAGGTATGCACCCAAAAAAATGAGTACACCGAAGTAGTCACCATATATATATATAACGTTAGGGGTGAGTAGTTGTATTAAATGTACATGAATTAGTGATGAAGCTTGAACAGTAGGGGCTGAAAGTGAGAAACTACAATACTCTCATTATTGAATCTAAATGCTCGAGAAATGGGCTACTAATCTCAATTCCATCACTTTCTATTTTCTCAAGAATCATCTACTAATCTCAATTCTGCTTCTAAACTACATGTATCTTCGCCACTTTCAGTTATTTTCGTCCCTGGAAAAAATGAAAATGGTATCATACTATAATTCATAATTACTACAAATAAACTGTGGTTAAGTATAATGTTTAAATGATGATTTATTAATGGTTGAAATAACTGAAAAACTGCATTTCTTTATGCGGCCACATCCCAAGTTTCCAACTCCTCTTGGCTGTGTCCATAATTAATGGACAATGGTACAATTTGTTTCTCAATACATAGACAAACAAATACACATAAGTTTCATAGTTTGACGTGAATAACTTACTTATTAATAATAAGAGTTATGAGGGGGGAAATGACATCTTAAGTAGCTGATACTCAACAAAATTGATCAGAAAAAAGGAAGAAGCCAAGTTCAAATTTGCAACCCCTATGATTTGCACTAATGATAATTGACCCTCTTCACATCACTTATTGACTTGCTAAGAACGAAGAAAACCCCTATGAAGCTTCCTTCAGCAAGATATTCCCTCAATTTTCCACTTCCCCTACCAAACTCCCATTTCATTATCAGGGAAGAGATTTTTTTCTTCTTCTGTTGGAGTGGAGGCAATGCAGCGGAAGATAGTTACAGGGAAGACCTGGCGATTTCTAGTGCTTCTTCAACTGAAGATGCCTTCTCAAGCTTCGATTTATCGATCGCAGGCTGCCTCCTAGCTAGTTCGGGAAGCAACTGAAATTCCTACAAAATGGAAGTAAACGACATCATTACTACAAGTTTGCAGCTGCAACTTTCAGACAAAGAAGAATGTCGCGGTAAAAATGTAAGATCGTTTACATCTGGACTTCCGCTTTCCAGAAGAACTCCATTCAGTTTACCTGTGAAAGAAGCAAGACATTGATGAGCAATGTTGGACCTTGACCGCACAGTGCGCGAAACTTATGAATGGAACACAAATTAGCTTTACCAGAGTCTATCCAGAATGTAGCGATTTTTGGATCGAAGTTTCCTACTTCAACTGTCTCGCCAACTGTCCAAACCAGTAAATTATGAGTTCAATGCCACATCAAGAACGGACGTCTCAAGTGGAAGTAGAGACAGTCCCAATTTGCGTTCTTTTATGTGATTTTTTCTTACCATTGTCGCCAAAGAACTGCCACCAGATCTTTCTTGAGCTCCCTTCATACTCAAAAACCCTTGAGTAGAAGTAAGGGAGGTAGTCGTACCTGTACCAATATAGATACAATCCAATTATCCAAACTTAGTATGATCTACAATAAAAACACTCCTCATACCAAGAATATCAGACTTACGTGTCAGTGTGAGCAGTAAGCAGCGATTTCACACAGTGCTGGGCAGATCGACGAGCATGGTCTACATGTTCAACTCGTGCTATGCGGTTGTACATCTGCAATAACAGCAGCTCAAGAGAATGTTGTTTGGAAAGATACAAACGAACGTTCAAGTATTGAATCGTGTTTTCTGCATGGTGAGAATAAAGGAGACCTTCAAAGGGAATGCTGCAACATCTCCAATTGCAAATATTCCTGGTACTTTTGTCCTGAACAGACCATCGACCTGCAAATACCCGAGTTTCATAAACACATCTCAAGAGAATACCATGTGAATGGTAACTGTAGAGGATATTGGTTGTGCCCATGCTTTACCTCTATTCCACCAACAGAGGAGTTCAATCCCACACTTTCAAAGGAACTTACAGCTGGCTTCCCACCAATTCCAATTACCACCTGGAATATATTCATCCCAATGTGAGTGAGACCAATAATGATCTACTTTTCACATGAATGTAAAAACCGTCTGAGTAGGGAAAACACAAAATGATGAAGATATTCAGTACCGTATCAGCTTCCAAAGTGGATCCATCTTCTAGCTTAACACCAGAAACTCGACCATCAGAACCCGCTTCTAGGTTCTTTATAGAGGCACCCTGATTATGTAATTACAAACATTAGAACTTTGAACACTCTGAATAGTTTACCACAATAAGCAATTATGTAGCATAAATGACTGAGAGAGAGAGAGAGAGAGAGAGAAAACCTTCAAAAACTTAATGCCGTTTTCTTGGTAAAACTGCTCGTATCTCTGAGCAAGTGAAGGAGTGAACAACCTTTGCAACAGATGATTCTCAGGGAACACAATCTATATTGCACAATCGAAAGAGGGAAAACTTAAGACCATGTATAACATTAAAAGATTCTAGTAGCATAAATAATCAGAAGAAAATGGCACGATGCTCTCTCCTATCTGTCATCGGCCATATCTACAAATTTTCAAATGGTTCTATTCGTTAACAAAGCAAGCTGATCCGCAAATGAGTTTTTAGTATCCCTAATAGATACCTTGCAACAAAATTCTCAGAATTTAAAACTGAAAAAAAGTACAGACCGTTGTATCAAGTTTCCAACCAACAGCTGCCGCAGCTACTTCCATACCGATATAACCACCCCCAACAACGACTACCTTCTTTGCCTTTTCCTGTTACAAATCGGCAACTGCTTGTTAGACCTCCATATCTGCCTAGATGAACTGAAAGCACAACTGCTGGGCAACTCAGTAGCCCCAGAGGTATTCAAATAAAGCAATGACATGGAGTTACCAAAGATGATATCAGCGAGTCAGCATCTCCCACGTCCCTGATGTAATGGACACCAGGCAAATTTCCTCCAATTTTCTCTGGGAACCTAATCGTTACCAGGACCGTTCAGTAATGTAGGAATGTTTCACATACTACTAGTAGTAATTTTAAGTCTTCAGACCAAGAGAGACGATATATGAAGATCAGACTGAGTGTCTAAACTACCTTGAAGCTGTGCACCCCGTAGCAACAATAAGAGCACCATACTTGAGCAGCTTGCCTGAATTTGTTGTAACAGTCTGCTTTTCAATATCGATACTCGCAACTGGATCTTGATAGATCATCTGAATCCAGTGAATGTTCCCAACTCAAGTAAATTAGTGGCACTCTTCGTTAGGAGTATCTTAGTGTATAAAAAAACAGACAGAAAAGGACACAAGAGCAAGAGAGAGCACTTTGTGCTGAACAATTTTGCAAATTGAAGTGAGACTGGTACCTCTATCCCCTTCTCTTTGTACCAATCTGGAGTTTGTCTTTCCCCACCAGAACCAACGCAAGTATGGAAGCCCTACAATGTCGAAGAGCAATAATTTGTTCAATCAAATAGCCATTGGTTTCTCTGATAAGGAAATCAGAACTGAATTAGACCAATCACCAGGAAGCAGGAGAAGATGAATATTACTTACAGGTAAACGTGCAGGCTTCTTATCTAGAGGAAACAGATATGCTTTTGTTAAAGCAGGACGCTCATAAGGGGCATGTGGCTGCAAGAAGAAGAATAAGGAGGAGTTTACAGAAGTCCACAATGATGAAGATTGCTAGAGTATCGCCATTCGAGATGCAGAGCAAATTGATCAATCGACAACGAAGAATTCACCTCTTTGGTCACCATACAGAGTTTCCCGTCGGCCATTCCGTGCTCGACGAAAGTCCGGGCTGCGTATCCCGCTGCATTCCCGCCCCCGACGATCACAAACCTGCCCGAAGTGTATAAAGAAAAAATCACTACACGCTCAAAGAACGGACAAAAAATTTGAAGATTAGAAAAGCAGAAAGAATGAACTGACTCGCGATTCTCGTTTGAGAAGGCAGAGGAGGAAGCTGCGACGAAACTCCTCCTGAAACTTCGAAACCCGATTCCCGGCGCCGGCGAGGTGCGGATAAGTGAAGCGGACTGCTGATGCGTGGGACGAAGCGACAGCCCGTGCTTCAGCGATAAGGTACTGGAGATGCTCGCCATGAGCCTTCGCGCTGCAAATCACAGGGATTCAGACACGGAACAGGTGAGGACGGAGGAGAAAGCAAGTGGCCGTAAATCGTAGAAGCTGAGATCGAAGCAACGGCGAGTGAGACCTGGAGATGGCATCCTGGGAGTTGGATGTGGAGTGAGTTTAAATATGGAGGTTTTGGATTGAATAAATTAATGGAGTATTCGGCAGATGGCAGGGGTTGGATTTGACTCTCTGAGGCGTCGAAGAGTCGTGCTGCTCATCAGATGGGAGGGGTTAATTTTGCCGTTTTTTTGAAACGGAAGGAGGGAGGGGACGGAGGAGAGCACGGCGGCGACGCGGCGGAGGGGAGGGGCGAGGGATGGTGGTGTTTGTTTTGGATTATTCGCAACTGCCGTTGAAAGAGTGCGTGAATTGTGCCACTCGTCGTCTCGCCGTTTGAGATCGGCGAAGTGTAAACGCCGCCGTACCTTGTCAGCTTCTTTCCTCTTAAGCAGTCAACGGCTCAACGCTGTATGAGCCCAGTCCGTTATCTTTACGTATGGACTTTCAAGCCCCTCTTAGAGGTTCTGCGGGTAATTATCATAAATGGTAATAAACTTATTCAATTTGTACAAAACGGTAACAATTCTTTAATTTTGTACGTTTTGGTAAAATAAGTTTGAGTGAATAACGAATTGGTCAATCCGTCCAAAACTCCGTTATCCATTGCCCAGTCACTATGACATGTCATTGAAAATATTAATAATAAAAAATTAGTTCATCACCCAATTGACCCGCACAACCCAACCGGCCGTATCATAATACCCCCCCCCCCTCGAATTGGAGAAAGTCAGCTACTTGCGGGAGAGAGTGGCGATCGGACCAGAAGATAACGATGACAACTTCTACCTTAATCTTTCTGCCGCCTCTTTCGCGCCGCCCACCAAGTTCCCCGTCGCTCCCTCCCTGATTCCGACCGGAGGGCACTTCAACCGGAAGAATCTGCTGGTCACGAGCATGACCGTCGCGGGGGCGATGATCGGCTTTGTTCTGCTTATAGGAATCTTCTGTTTAGTTCTTCGAATCTGGAGACCGAGGCGGCAGCGCAGGAATTTGAGCTTCAGTTGGCGGCGACGGGATCCGTCGACTGTTTTGCTACACAGGACGATTTCATCGCGGAAGATCATGGCCCTGTAATTGATAAGCCGATTTGGTACATCCACACCGTGGAACACTCGAAAATCGAATCAATCGCGATGTTCCAATACAGACTGCTCTGTTTGCCTGAGCGAGTTTGAAGAAGGCGAAAGTTTGAGGTTGTTGCCCAAGTGTAGCCACGCTTTCCACATCCCTTGCGTCGATACTTGGCTTAGATCTCACAAAAATTGCCCACTCTGACGCGCCCCGATCGTTGCCGCCGATGCGAATTCCAGAGTTGTTGTTGTTCAAGCTGTTGTTGTAGGGTCATCGATGAATCTCAATTCTGGGGAAAATTCTACAGTAGAGAATTTGGAACCTACAACTCTAATGACTGCACCGGAGGAGGAGCGAGAGGGTGAAGTGAGTCTTGGTAGTGGTGAGTGGTGACAATAGTAGCAATGAACCGGACCTTTCAGATCATTCAAAGAGATTGATGGTATTATTAAGGAGCAGTCTTTCGTGGGTTCCAAGCGATGTGTTCGAACGAGGGAGAGAAGGGGCAGGGGATTTGCAGGGGTTGAGGCGGTCGTTGCCGCTGGATTCGTCATCAGCAATGGCGATTTACAGGGCGGTGGAGAATATCAAAGTAGAAGATGAAGGAAAAGGGAAGACTTTGGGTACGGCCGGTTGGGTTGTGTGGTGTTAATTAGGATGATTAACTTATTTTTTTATTAATATTTTAATGACATGTCATGCTGATTGGGCAAAAGATAACGGAGTTTTGGACGGAAGTGGACGGATTGACCAATTCGTTATTCACTCAAACTTATTTTACCAAAACGTGCAAAATTAAAGGATTGTGATCGTTTTGTACAACGTGAATAGGTTTATGACCATTTATGATAATTACCCAGAGGATGTGCCATCTTTTTTACCATTTGCCTATCTTAGGTTGTTTGGATGGATAAATTGAAAATCAAGATAATTACCAATTGTCTCTTTTACGAAATTATTCATTTAAAATTGTCTACACCACCCTAGATAATTATAATTATATCAAACGAGTCAATTTGAAAATTTTCATACTAAATTGATTCATCTAAATTTTATGTTGCCAAACAGATCAATTTGGTCAGATTGTCTCGAAACAAAACAACTGGGTCAAATTGATCCATTAGAATTCTTTATTCAAAGACTCATTAATTCTTGGAGAACTCAGAACTCTTACGCTAACTTGGTATCATTTCAAGTTAAGTAACTTCAATTAATCATTTAATTTGTATCGTAAAAATATATTAAAATCAGTTTATATAATTAATTAACAATGGTTATTGGATTCAGACCGGACAGTATGCAAGGTACTGGCTTCCGCTATTGTTTGTGCTGGATATGCTGAAGTTCCCACCTTATCAGATTCACCCATTTGCTAAGTTTGAATATCAAGCCGCCAAGATTAGTTTGGTGGCTAGGCAACAGGGTACCAACTAGAGAACCATACAAAAACTAAGTCTGGATACCAAGTTGGCAAGACGGACTTGCTAGCCAGGCAAGAGAGCTGACAAGACAACCTTGGTATCAAGTTACCAAACCTCCCAAAAACTAAGTATATATATCAAACTGACTGGGTGCCAACCCGATGAGGAGGTGACAGAGTGGCCAACTGAGGTGGCTACCCGACCGAGTACCAAAATATCATCATGGACACTCCCTAAATTCTCAAGACTAAGTGTGAATCTCAGGGGTGGTGTTGGTCAGCCCGGGTACTAAGCCAATGAGACCAAGTTGGCAAGACGGGCTTGGAAAGGTACCAAGCAAACAGGTGAAAAGTTGTCAAGTTGATTACACAAACTTGGTGGTTAGCTCATCAGGGTAGGGGGTTATGCGACAATCCCTATGCACAAGACTAAGTACGAAACCTAGAGGGTGGAGACTTGTCAGCCAAGATGCTCGAGCTGATAGGAGAACTTAGTTTTCTCTGCAATGTACCCATAGTTTTAGCTTTTAGTATCTGGAGCTCTCACGAAATCTCCATAGGAGTAGAGTAATTTAACTTAGTTTTCACAACTATAAAAACATCAAACACTCTCGTTCGAACTTTGTTTGGAGAGGTACAAACCGTGTTATTGTCGTTGTTCAAAGAAATCAAAGGTGCATTCATTGATTTCAAACACAAGAGTTTTACTTGCCGGAAAACATAAACACTCTCGTTCGCACTTTGCTTGGAGAGGTACGAACCGTGTTATTGTCTTTGTTCGGAAAATCAAAGGTGCATTCATTGATTTAAAACACAAGAGTTTTAAAGGCAAGTTTGTGTATCACGTCTAGGTAGATGGTAGTAGGAAGTCAGACGATAACTTGAATCGTGCATCAAAGGAAGGAATTGGCAAGTTAGAGCTAGGTATATGTTCCATTGGAGTAACCTGGCTAGGGTTCCCCTTCTGTTGGAGTGCTGGGGTAGCTGCCAGCTGGTGCAATTGAGGCAAGGGAACGAAGAGTCTTGCACACTGGGCTGTCTTGTCTTGGGCTTGAGTTTTCGGATGGGCCAATACATATGGGGATTGGGGGTGAATGCCTGAATGGTGCAAAGGGTTTATTAAGAAGGAGAGCCAATAATCCAACCAGTTTAATGGACCGAACAATGCAAGTGTTTATTAAGCAGCAATGGGATGTGTTTCTCCTTCCGTGAAGATTAATATTTGGTTTTTATACAAACGTGAACATTACCTGATTGGGCTCACAGGGCCCATGATTTTTTTTTCTTCAATCGGGCCATGTAGATTATTAGGGGAAATATTTCGTCAACCATTCAAGAGATTGGTCTGGTGATAATGTAGGATGAGAACATGAATTACATTTTGAATTTTGAATCTTGTCGACAAATAACCAACGGGAACAAAATATTGGAGCCTTTTACAAGCAGATTGTAGGCGGAAAACAAACACATGCCCATCATTGAGGTGGGAGAACATGAAATTAAGAGGCTAAGGTGCCCTCTGATCAAAATCGCAAGGATGTCAGAGGTTTCTGAATGGAAATCCGACACGAGTTATCTTTTGATTTGCTGTACAAAGTCTTTTTCGTTGAAAAGTCATAAAGTATATAATCTCCGACACTAGAACATAATATGGATGGCTCCAACTAACAATCTTCACGAGGTGTATGACGGTCTGCGAATTTGCTTTGCAAACCAGTCTTACTAGTCTCAATCCCCAAGTAATTCTAATTTCTATATGCAACTCCAGCCAACTATATATGCAGGCAACATCGTTATTATTTGGGTCTTTAGATTCTCAACTACGTTCTTGTGGAGTCTATGACTATTGATTATTGACCAAACAGAGTATGAGCTAAGTACCTAACAACTACTCACGGCAAATAAGCATTCAACACATTGAAGCCGGGAATAGCGAACGGCTCCAGCGGCGGATCCAGAACACAGAAGAGCACTGGGCCGAGTTTCATTAGAAAATTGAATAGTAAAAAAACATAATGATTATAGTTTTTTTTCAATGTAAATTGTACACGACGGTATTTTAATTTACTGATGCATCAATAATGGAGCCTACATCCATACCAATAGTATACACTGTTTCAAATAAAATACTTGAGCAATCGGCAAGAAATTCATCGCTCATTTTGTTGAGCAAATCAGTTCTCACATATTTCATTGTTGAAAAGGTTCTCTTCGTAGTAGCTGTTGAAACGAGCAGCATTAACACTACACAAATCAATCGACTAATCAATTGGCATTGTGTGTCAATCCCTGCATCCACCAACTGCTCTAGTAAGTTTTCAAGGGAATAAACCTCATCTTTCTTTTAGTCTTTTACGTTTTAAACTTTTAAAATTTTAGGTTTCATTATTTTTTTTATATGCATAATCTTTGGGGCTAAAATTTAAAGGCTAAATTTAGAGTAGTGATTTGAATATGGTCCAATGAATCATTTTTCTAATTATACCCAATTTTATTATAAAATCACACTAAGCCGAATGCCTAAAATCGAAAAATTCAGAAGGACTATACTAACTACGGATCCAGAGGAGGGCTGGGCGGGGGCCCGGGGTGGCCACCCCCTGGATCCGCCACTGAACGGCTCCAAAGAGCAGCCCCTAGAACGGACGAGATAAAACGGATAAAACGACCTGCAACAATATATATATATATATATATATATATATATTTATTGAAAAAAGAAAACCCCCAGCGGAGGCAATTACTGTGCAGCAAGAGAGCTTTCCCTGTACATCTAGACTCATATGCACTGTTTCAACTCGGATGTGGATCCAGTGTGGAGCAGTGCACGGGGTTTCTGGTTGGTTCCTGACCGAACTTGGTGGTTTGGTTGCCTTTAGACCAAAGTTTACCTTCTGGTTGGGCTTCTTTGATTTGTCCCAAGCATGCGTTGGTCGCTCTGCGACTTTGGTTAGCTTCCGTTTGTCCTTTCGGCGATGAGGTGACGTCTTCCTTTCCTTTTAAGGACTTTTGCGCAGTAAAACAGTCTTGGGGGTTGGAGTGGTGCTTTGAAGAGACTGGAAGAGCCTGATAGTTGGGGTTGCTGATGGAGACTGAATTAATCCAGAGAAGAGAGAGAGAGAGAGAGAGGGATAGGCAAATTAATAGCCTATTTCTTATATTTTCCCTACCAGGCTACCACAAAAATTACCTGCCGGCGCGGTGTCCAATAAAGATGATGATGATCGTTTTTCCTCTCCATTAGTCGCTGAGTGGGGAGAAAGTCAGAGGCAAATTAGTATCCTCTTCTTTACCGTCTCTCTCATAGCTTAGTTGTTCATCGGTTTCTAATTTCTCTCTCCTTGTGTGCTGCAGAGCGGCTGGCGATTGAAATCAGTTCGTCTTTGGAGTTCTGGTGGATGCAGCACCGCTATCCAATCTTAGGTATGATAATTATGCGGTGGTTTTCCGAAGGAACTAATTCTCCTATCGCTCCATCTCAGTTTATGTTCCTATTTTTTCTCTCTATTTATCCATTAGACACAGTTGAAGGCTCAGAAGCCACAACCTGGTGATTCGGTTATCACCAATGGTCAGCATCCCGAAATCGATCAGTAAGCTCTTGATACTTACCATTTCTATCTTTGGTTTTTCCTTCCCTTATTTGCAAGGTCAACTTTTGGGATTTGGTTTGGTTTCACGTGATTTTTCAGTTTCTTTCTCTATCTGATTGATTGTTCTTCTCTCTTTCAGATCTATTATCACGCATCTCAATGGGTTTATGTGCATCCCTTTCCTCGAACGGGTAGTTGGTATTTTTCGCCTAAGTTGGGTTTGTTGAATGTCTTTTTAGGAGATGGGTAATTGTTATTGATCAGACTCTCCTCAGGTTGTGAGGTGAAACCTACAGTGGGGAGAAGACGGATCTGTCGGTCTGGGTTGTTCTAAGGTGAGGAGGAGATTGATGGGTTCAATTTCTTTCTAATTGTTCTTCACTATCTCATTTAATTCAACTTGCTGATTAAGTTTCAGAATTTCAGGAATGGGATCTGGACGTTCGTCCCTTAGATCATAGGGTACTGATACGTAGATTCTATTTTGAGATTTTCCTTTTTTGTATGTTCATGAGTTCTTGCTTTCATGTTCCTGTTTTCTCTATTTTCTTGATGGGTTTGATCAACCCTGTTCAAAGTGAATCTTAGAGGCTGGGGATAGGATCCATGCCAGATGAGAAAGAAGGCATGAATATGTATGACCTGTAAAACTCAATTCAATTCATATCCCTCTGACATAGTGACATGTTATCTATCCAGCTGATATTTAGAACCGTGCAAGTCATTTCTTTCCAGCTTTGATAAATGTGTACTCTGGTCTGCCTCTTCCTTTCTGTTTTGGTGTTTTACAGCAAATTTTTTTCCTTAGTAGGTTCAACTGGTGATTCCTAGCTGCATACTTATGTCATACTGTTAGCACCAGTAATAGATCCATGTCACTTAGATACTCTTTAGGATAATTTCTCTGTTGTCTTTGTTGGTTTCATCTTTTTATGAATGCATTTAGATTAGTTTTCTCTTTGCTGCCTGCTCATCCTATTTTTTTTAACTCCATGATGCATTCGTCTATATCACTATTTAATGATCTGTGAAATTTGAAAGCTCGATGAATTGGCTGCTTCCCCATAATTTTTGTTGAATAAACCTACATTCAAAACCATGATGGTTGTCAACTCCCTTGCAGATTCAACAAGTTGAAGTTGTGGGGGGTCATACCCATTTTCTTCTCTCACTGGGCATCGTGGTGACTGCTATACACTTTTGATGAGAATGGTTCCAGCTTGCGGCGTTACTTCTTTGTGGTGCATCTGTAATACTTGGTATATTCTTTAATCCCTTTTATTTTTGTCCATTAGTTATTAATTATTATGCTTATTGATGTGTGTTCCTTTTGTTATTTACAGGGGTGACTTTCTTCAGTGATGCTTTTGATTTTTAAGGTTTGCTCAAATGGTTCATTTGAAGACCCTTCTTATGGATTTCTTTGCAAAGTGTTCTTACTTTGCACTAAACTATTTGTTGGGATGATTCAACAATGTCTATTATTTACTATGTAAAGTTTATTTCATTAGTCTTTGCAGTGATCGTATGGTTGAGGCAGTTGTGTAGTGAAAAGCATAGTATGTGTACAATTTAAAGCAAATAAGGATAACTAGCTATTATATGTTCATGCTATAAAGTTACTAAATTATGCCCAATTGCTTACCTACTTTATATATTTGATTATTCATGTATTTTGACTGCAAACTGAAACTTATTGTGTTCCCTGCATCCAAATCTCATGTGCCACTTCCCATCAACTATGCCTAAGGTTCATTCTGCAGGGCCACCAACTATGTCATCGAATGCTTACTTTCCTGTCAAAGAAACTACTGGGTAGGCCACCTCTCCTCAAGGAAAGCCAGTTGCAGCTAATCCTACCAGTCCACTGTATTCGATCACTGATAAGGCTTTTGAGACACTAAGAGTTCAAGCGACACGCTCCCTGCCACTAGAGAAGTAAATTTCAGTATTAATGAGCTATCCTCAACAGGTGTCTTCAGCTTTTTCATGTTCTGTTGTAGCGAGTACTGGAAATCCTCAGACTAGGATCAGTGTATCACCATTATCAGGTGTGGCTGTGTGGGGATTGTTCCATCAAATTTGAAAATTGGGTAGGTCGTTCAGTTAAGTGAGGGCTGAAAACTTAGAATTGGGTAGCTGTAGAAGACCCCAAATAAACGTTGAGCCTAAAAATTGATCAGAGGAGTCTACCCAATTCAATTTCATAACATTACCATATTCAGAACAAATAAATAAGTAGTGTACCCAATTCAAAACTAAATCAAAAACTAAATCAAATTGGAGGAAATCAGAAAAAACCTAAAGTGTAGCAAATTATATCATTATAACCATTGTACCATAGCAACAAAATTCCTTACAGGTATCTCAAGTCCCAGCGCGGAGCGCGGAGCGCGGGCAATGAAAACTAGTATATAAATAAACACGACCAATAAACACATCTTCTCTTTCTCTTTCTCTTTCCCGTTCCCGAATTCCAATTCCAAATAGCGGATTCAGGGTTCGTTTGGAAGTTGCGATTGTTTTGTTGAGATTGTTATTATGCATGTATTGTTTACAATGCATCGTTTTTTTGTTTTTTTAGCAGAAACAATATATGGATTGTTTCTGTGATATGACATAAACTATCACTCATTTTTTAGTGATTGTTATATCTCAAGTGTCTCTCCTCCATCTCAAGTGTCTTTCCTGCATTCTCAACAATACATCTATCCAACAATCGCAACTTCCAAACCAACCCTCAAGTGTCTCTCCTCCATCCTCCTACTGCCACCGGCAACCACGCAGCTGGCTTCTCCTGTTTGTTTTGGTGTTTTTTTCTCTTGAAACTGTCGCCGCGCTTTCGGACAACTCCAAATTTGTTTCCCACTTTAATTTCTGCCCCCTTCACAAGGAACACACACAAAAATCCACATACATACATAGCCTAGCAGCATTTTAACTGGTAAAAATCAGCGATTTCACCCTGCGTCTCGATTCGCCGAAGCAGAGTTCCTTTCTTTCACTCGGCTAATTTCATGTCTTCTTCTTCTGCAGGATCGGGGCTGCCGAAATCAGACTACCAAAACCAAAAAAAAGGTGAGGTCAACTGGTCAATCTTGATTGCGATTGATGTGCCCAAGAAAAATGAAGCGATGGTCCAATGCCTGCAAGTGCTATCCCATTCTTCCCTCCATCTCTTTTTGGTTCTGATAACTACTTGGGAAAAGCATTAACCACGGCTGCTGTTTGTCGTGTTGGTTTTGTTTTCTGTATATTCCCACAAAAGGAATCGAAGACCAATGAAGATAAAAGGAAACCAACATTGGCAAATGGCTAGATGTGAAGGTTGGAATTAACCGAAACGTCATTTAATTTGGAATTCGGATGTCATTTTCATTCTACCGTCACTAGCTAACACTACTGGCTTAACTTGCCAATTATCAAACCGTAACAAGATCAATTATAAAAATTTTGGGGTTTACCTAGCTATCTAGCTAGCTCCAGATGATCATAAATATAAATAACTATTTTCTGTTGCCATGTGCTTCCGTCTTGATTAAGGAATGTTATCTACGATTACATTAAGGATTTTGTTTGTGGAGACAAATTCAACGGTTTAAATGTTTTCTATACCCAACATAATATTGTATATTTAGCCCCTGTGAGCTAATGAGGATGGAGTGAAGACAAAAGGAAAATACATGATCACTGGCACAAAACTAATAACTCTAAAAGCATAAATACAAAGTTTTTATTCCCAATACTCATAATAATTGGCATATGCATATAGAATAGAAAGAAGACACACCCAGCTAGGCTTCTTTTTTTGTCAGAACTTGCAAGTTACAAGTTATTACTTCAGTCTGACATCTAGAAATGTAATTCTCCCATGCTAGGCTTAATTGTGACTAATGAACCAGAACCCTCCACCCAAATCATTATGGTTATCATCATAACACGATGACATCCCTTCCTAGTTGATACTATCACGAGAGCAAATACTATAATTCGAAGCTTACATCGATGAAGCGTACCCAACCCAATTTTCAACGGGGCATTTGGAAGCATTACATTGTTGACAAAATGACCATTACCACCTATAAACAAAATGGTTGAGATTACACTTTGTCATAATCATATGTCCTTACTGCACTTCCTACCAAAATTCCAGACATTGAAACATGCTTTCTTATCACCACTCATAGATATAACACAACATAGAGTGTACTATTTAGCTATTTCACATCCAGGAATGCATAATTCCACATGTTTAGTGTTTTATGCAGCCGGAACCCTATACCATATGGCCGTCTAATTAATCACACATTAGAAGCATAGAACAGACAAAAATTCCATAACCTTCAACAACAACCCAAAAAAGAAAAAAGAAAAAACATGTCACTCTGCACAAATTCCCACCCTCAAATGCCCATTTTACCCCGCTTCTACATCATGGGCTGAGAAATCTTGCCGGCGTGTTCCAACAACTCCATCATCTCCGACCGGCTCCTCACCGCCTGGTGAAACACATCCCTAATCTGCTGCTGCAACGGCACCAAACCTTCCTCCATCCTCCGGCAAACCTCCGCCATCTCCTTCACCTGCGCCGCCACTTCCTCCAATTTCCCTTCCTCCTCCACCGGAAACTGAAACCCGTCGGCAAACTCAATCAACCCTTGGCTCAATTTCTCCATCTTCTGCATCTCCTCCAACAAACCCGCCGACCCCTTTTTCTCCTTCTTCTTCCACTCCTCCCCAATCTTCTCCTGAAGCCCATTAAGACTATGGGCCCACGCGAACTGCCTCGGGATCTGGATATGGAGCGGCAGCCCAACCCGGTCCTGGCACGGGACCGCCGCGACCAGGGCCCACATCACGAAAACCATCACCACATTCATGATGTACACCGGCAAAGCCAGCCCATTCAGCTCCGCGCCACGCGGCGCGACGAGATTGGCCCACATCGCGTGAATCTGCTTCGCCGCGGACCAGTTCTTCCCCACAATCATCGAAAGCGACCGAAACGTCGCCGTCGGGCGGTCCTTCACCGCCGCCGCCGCTCCCCGCCGGCCGAACGACCAGCTCCGCTCGGGGGTCTTGTAGTGGCTCCCGCCGTGGTCCTTCTCCTCCAGCGACGCGACCAGAGCTCCCAGTGCCTTCCTCGCCCGCTTGACCTGGCCGTCGCCGATGGGGTTTTGATTTTCGAGGGCGGCGACGGTGATCTCGGCGAGGCGCTGGCAGTGGCGGACGGACTCGACGCCGGCGGAGACGGCGTTGCAGATGTCGAGGGCCTTGACGGCGCGGTCGAGGAGCTCCGGCATGAGGCGGTCGAGTGGGGGCTTTGTGAGCTGGGTGGGCTCGCGGCCCATGATTAGGACGGCCTTGAATTCGGCTTCGCAGCAGAGGAAGGCGTCGACGAGCTTGCGGAGCCAGGAGATGGAGAGGAGGCCGCCGTCGCCGGGGTGGTCGAGGAGGTCGGCGAATCGGTCGGAGACGTTGCGCTGGAAGAGCTCCAGGTCCTCGAGCTCGAGCTCGTGGTTGGGGTCCATGGCGGTGATTTGGTTGCGGCGGGTGCTGATTCGGGTGAGGAAATTAGAAGGCTGGAACTCTGTGGCGGGCATTTTTTTTGTGGGGGGAGAGGGAGGGAAAACCAAAATTGGAAAGGGGAGAGGGAAGGAGAGAGAGAGGAGATTGGAAGGGCGAGAGGGAAGGAGAAAGAATCGGAAGAGGAGGAGGTTGAAGAAGAAGTCAAGAAGAAGGGTATGTTATATACGGGGGAGCGACATACGTGGGACGCTGTTTGTTTATTCGTGGTCCAGTCTAGTTTCTGAATTTGGTTGTTTTTTTTTTTACGCCCTTAAGAAAACGAGACCCATTCTTCTTTATTCTTTTTCTTCTTCTTGTTCTTGAGGTTGCTGACTCGGCCCGGCTGCTATGGTGTTTCTCTTCTTTAATTCCCAATCCTCACTGATTCAGTTGCGGAATTGTTAGTTTGTTTATAACAGAGAAAACCAATAGATTTTATTGAGGCTACTTGGTGAAGTACTTGATCAAATATTACCAGTTTGGACAATTATTAAGGAGGGTGAATAAATGTGTTTATACGTATAAATCGTGAAAAATAATTTGCTGAATTATGTATTGCTATTTTTTTACCCGATGAAGTATACTATTAGCATAGATGAGAGCGAGGCGGGTTTTGGGTGTTTTTTTTTTATGTATATAAGAGGATGACAAATGAAGAAAAAACATATGAGTTTGAATTTTGAGAAAGTGAGGAGTGAACTAAAGGAAAAGAACTTTGGTTTGGCCAATCACTCAATTACATATCATTTTTTTTAATTTTTTAATTACAATTTCTATTGTTGGGGTGTTACTAAGATACTCCGCGCACAGACTAAGTAGTAGGGCGCACAATCGGTGATGCCCAACGCTCGATACCCGCTACAGGTATATAACGGCTTGAAGCCCTCCAAAGGAGAGGACTTCTCCTCTCTCCCCACTTTCCACTTTTCATTATCTCTCTACACTTTATCTCTCTACCTTGTTCTCTCAACTTTCATCTTAAACATAAACTGACTTGATCGTCGGAACTTAATCCGGGGGGCAACCCCGGCTCTTTCACAGGTCTCTTCCCTCCCGACGAGATCAGACGAACGGATCGTGAGTCAACCCCACACCAACAAATATCATTGTCCATACCTCGAACTAGGTGGTACAAACACCTATCATTGTTGATATTCCATGTATTGACTAAATCGAAAACGATCGAGTACCCAAAATCGCGAATTTGATTGTAATCCTAATACGAAGTAATTCAAACTACTTTTGGGCATAAGTTCCAACATGATTTTGCTGATTGCAAACAAAAAGAGATGAGACCGCAATTAGTATGAGAACGATAAACCCTTGTCCAAGTTTTAATTAGGAAGGAAGTTTCAGGTCATCACGTTGCCCAAACCAAAAACCTCTCTCTGTACGCACGAACCCACAACACCCCAAGAATGTGTATGTCACCTACTTACTCTGGAATCTCTATTCCTCGACGTGAGAGAAAGGCCAATTACATAATTGGCTGTCAAGCTTTGCAGTCACTGAAAATTGGTTAAAACTTAAAATAGTTAAATCTTTAACAAACTTGTGTAAATTAATGTAACAAATAAATTAAATTCACTTCCATCTACATTATCAAGAATCCATTTACTTTTACCTTACCTTACTATATTAATCATAGTGATTCCTACATAACATATGAAGGGTGATGGCCTGATGGGCAAACTGATAATTATATTGATTAATTTTTTAACTTCCAATGAAAAGCCATTAAAAATAAATTTGAGTAACCCACTTATGACTCCCTAAATTTTAGCTGTAATCGGCCATAAAATATCATGCAAAGCAAAATCAAATAAACTAGCAGATACAGTAATCTAGATACTAGCTAGCAGGGATTATGCATATTTGTTTATTTGGCAAATGGCAGTGTAGGATATTTCACTTTTACTACTGATTTGCCATCGCGCGGCCCACCATCCTGCGCTAATTGTGGCCATAAACTGGTACTTATTATAGTATTATGAAGAACCAAAGAAAAGTGAGAATTATAAAATGGACCGAACCAAATATAAAATTTTGTTTAAAACAGATTGAAAAACCAAAGATAAGTGAGCTAGAAACAGAAAGGAGCGATCTTTATCTTTTGACACACCATACAAGACCAAGACGAGAGCGGGTTTCATTCAGTCTCGAGCTCGACATTTTTTTGGGTCATTCTCACCACATGCTTCTGACAGTTTTGGGCCCTATGACATATGGGCACGCGGAAACTGTGCACATTTTGACTATCAAAATTAGGGATGGCAACAAAATCCGAACCCATGGATACCCACCCGACCCAACCCGGTCAACGCGGGTAAAATCCGTGTTGACGGGTTTTGGGCCGGGTTTGGGTTTAAACCCGTTCACTATTCACCGGATTGGGTTTGGGTTTAGGTAAACCCGACCCATGGGTACCCGCCCACACCCATATCATTAATTTTCTCGGCGTATTTAATATTATAAACAACTAATCTTATTTATGTTTGTGGAGACAAGTCTAATTTTTTCTTTCTAGTTATGTAGAATGAAGTTGATGTTATTGAGTGGAGAGTGAAAAACTTAATTGAAAGGAAGAAGCTTTCGATTAATCATGTTATTTATGGATAATTTGTGATTTGCTTCAATTTTCTTGAGTTTTCTAGATTGGTGTTGAACAATTTGTGTAGTTAATTTGTGATTTGCTTGAATTTTCTAGAATGGTGTTTTATATATGGATAATTTGTATTGAGAGATTGATATTTGACTTTAATTTTGATAGGAATTTGTTATTGTGAATTTTTTACGACAAAAACCCGTGGGTACCCATGAACCCGCGGATACCTAGCGGGTTGGGTTGGGTTTGAGTTTTTCAAACCCAGTGGGTTTTACCCCGGATTTTTTTCACGGATAAACCCATAGATTTAAGTTTGGGTTTGGCAAAACCCGACCCAACCCGACCCATTGCAATCCCTAATCAAAACCGACCAACATGTATGGTTCATACTTGAGGCGAGGGTTCTGTTCTGTGTGTTGCGCCATTGAGTGCTGCAGTTTATTATAAAGCCGCTTTGGACAGAGAGATTCTGCTACCAATACCATGGTGATTTCTAGTTAGTGAGTAGGGTTTGATTTAGTTGGATTGCATAATCTGTAATCTCAATATATAAATACGAGTTTAAGCCTTCTGATGTTTATTCGGTTGTTTTGGTTTTTGGACTGGAAGAGTATCAAAATAAATGTGCAACATGATTTAGTGATGACAATTTGAACCCGCCCTGTCGAGTATTATCCGACCTGACCTGCGATGGGGCGAGTATTACCCGACTCGCAGTAGCGTGGGGAGGGGCATGGGTATCAACTTTCGACCCGCCCTGATCAGTCCCGCCCCATTCTTGATCCGTTCTAGGTCAGTTTCTTACCCCATCCATTCATATATCTCCTATTTTGGCTTTTCTTCAACTAGTTAGACTTGATCTTTCAATTAAATAGACTCAGTTACCCATTATATTATCACTATTATTCATTCATAAAGTCTTTTCCCTTTCGTTTTATCATTAAAAGTAAAATTTAGTGTGTATTTTTCTCAAATAGCATGTAAGAGTAGTTCGACCCGTCCCGCCCGTACCCGCGCGAATATTACCCGCCCTGACCCGTACTAGCGCAGAACAGGACATGAGTATTGAGGTACCCGCCCCGCCCCATTGCCATCACGAACATGATTGCATGCGTGGTGATAAAAAGTGAGTTAATTATGTTTAACATCTTATGATTCCAATGATGTGGCATGCATCACTCCCGGTCCCAGTAAAGGGATAGTTGGTATTGGTTTGCTGTTTCTTTAATTAGTAGTATAATAATTGTCAGTTGATTGCGGTTATTACGGTTGTTTATCGTGGAAAAAGGTGCTTTTTGCCGTTGATAAATAATTAACAACAAATGAAAAACGAATGTGGTTACTTTCGGTCATTCTTATTGATTACCGTTTAATGATAATGTTGTTTCTTGCGTAGGGATTATTGTCGGCACTCGGCTACAGTGTTTGAGCTGGACTCTTGCTACCAGACCATTTGTGTGTTGGTATGGGCTTCTTATGATTTAGAGAATTGGGTCAACTCCAATTCTTCTGTTCGGCCCTGTCCAGATTTCAGTCATGCCTTAATGATTGGTTGTGGGCTTGTGGCCTGTGGGAGAAGATCGAGTGCAAAGGTGAGGACACTGCTATAGGATTTTGATGAAGTGGTTTATAGCAGTTATCTCCTTAATATGGAAAAATGAAAGAATTTTTTTTTTTTTGTATATGAAGAAAAAGATGAAGGCGTATCACATTTTTTGAATGAGGTGGATCGTTGGGTAATTGATTTACATTTCTCCTCGCTACAAAAAAGCTAGTTCGGAGGAACTCATAGCGTCGGTTATCGTGGTTAAGTTGAATGTTGACGGTAATAGGAGAAGTGACCCACCGTTCATGATTATCGGACCACTTTAATATAAAAGAAAAAAAAACACTGTGGGCTTTTCCTTAACTTGGGCTTTTCTGAATAAATTAACGTGGGCTTATTTATTTCAGAAGCAATTCTTCTGGGCCTTTGAGCCTTGCCCAGCTGTCTAACCAAGACAATGACAAAGTGTGGGCTTGTCCAAAAGTTTTTTGTTTTTTTGTTTTTTCAATAGGGCTCGTAATTGCAATAGCTATCTAGACAGGTACAGTTAAAATTAGGAAGAAAATGACTAGCAATTAGTGGGAAACACATCTTAGTTAGTAGTTACCATCCATGTCTAGAGGATACTGAAGAGAGCTACGTAATCGGATTGAAATCCAGGAGAAAAGATGGGTCGGGTCCCTGTTCTATCAATAGAGGTTAGTGCGTCACTTTAAAAATGTTACTTTAATTCCCCCCCAAGTTTCATGATCAAGCAGCCGATTTCCCTACCTACGTCTCTATGTTATGAACTGCAGTACTAGCTTAGTATGTATCCGATTGAGTATGTATCATGTATGGATTATTTCGGACAATAGTGTAACTCAACTCGATTACAACCGAACTGAACTCATGGGTATCCAATCTGACCAATCTGATCAAAGTGAATAAAGTTTATTGTTGATAGACTTCGAATATCCACTTTTGGAACTGACGAGTTGGGTTGGGCCTAATCAAACCCAATTTGCTTTTCATTCGACCCCCCCAATAAGTAAAAATGCGTCATTTTGTATCTAACATTAATTATATTGATAATTTATGGATATCATTAGTATTTATCATAATATAAACGTAATAATATGAATAATTTTGGAATGATATTGGTTTTTATAGATATATATTTGTAGGAATATTTTTTGATATTTTTCCAATATGAGTGTTCTGAAAAATATTATATAATTATTTCTTAGTACTCGTTGGATTGAGTTGAATTTGCTCTTCTAAAAACCCAATGCATATTTTATGCTAAATGAGATTTGGATTTACAGAAACCCCACCCAACCTCACCCATTACCTTCCCTAATTCTCATCCCCTCTCTTGAATGAGGCATCAACAGTTTTCATGGTTAATTAATTTTAAGGTATCGTCACCACATGTGTTTTACTTGATAGTTTCTTCTTCGAATCCTAAATAAAAATTAACTCTTACTTCTCTCGAATCATGCTACTCATTTGGTACTTGCTAATGAAACTTAACTCTCACTAGTTCTCTTATCCTTGCTTTAAGTTTATAGGGTCCATATTTGATGGGATTCATGCAATGGTCTCGGTACAAACTTGTTTTAAGATTTAAATGTCTGAGTACTGGACACATAATAGTTATCGATTCACATCCTTACTATTATGACCTAAAACGAAAAAATAGTTTAGAAGGAATTAGTAGTTTGCATTTTTGTGAGGTGTGCATTGAATATATCGGTTGTTAATGTAAATATCAGTTCGTACCAATAATTCGAGTTTCTTTGTAGAGGTTTAATAATGGATCTTATACCACATCTAACACACCTCCTACAATGAAAACCACTTACATGGGTTTCGAAACCTCTCGTTTATAGAAACCTCTAATACCATAAAAAAAAACTAATTGTTTCAATAACTCAAATTATTAGAAGATGTTTAGTTATATCATTACTAACCCTTAACGCTAACATTCTTGATAAAGGGGAGAAACTAGAAGGATTGAACACTTGTAAAAGTAAAAAAATCCCATTGCAATTTTTTCTCCTGTGAAATTCATGATTGTATCTTGTTAACTTTAAGTTAAAAAATATCCTGAAATAGACCCAAGTTGCTATATACTGATTACAGCATGTTTTGGGGCAATCAATTTTCCTACTTCTTTTGGGTTTCTAATAAGTGGGTTTCATTTGATTACTCCCTCGTAAAAGATCCTCAAGAATGTCGGCAAACTATCTGTATGATTAACATTAGACACCTCCATTTGCAAGTCTCAAATGAGAGGCCAAATAAGTCAAGTGTTATGGGCACTCATTGGCTATCTTGGGTGTGTGTAGTGTAGGGATGGAAATTGGTTAGAGTATAGATAGCCATCCCATATTTTATGGTTAACCAGAAAATAAAGTCATGATTATACTAATCACAGTAGTTTTTTTTTTATTTGATAACCCAGGGAACCTCAGCCCCACATGCCGCTTGAGCGACAGCGGGGCCTACTAAATCACTGGGAGTACCTGCATACTAATCGGGGCTTTCTGCTACCAACATCGACTAATTACAGTAGTTAATGATTGAGCAATGTTCGATCACTACAATTTGGTTGTAGTTACTTACAAAAAATCATCTGTTAAGGAGTGGAGTTGCGGGCGCCACCAATGAATTTGTTACCAGTAGTTAACTATAGTGATGCAATGTTGTGTTGTACACGAATATGGTTTCGTATATATTATATAGCATGGATTTTTGCCTTTTCACGTTTGGTATTCGAGTTTTGTATCTAAGACAAGAAAGAGGGGAGAACATTTGATTTACAAAATACAAATTAATCTGAGACGACACAAACGATAAGTTTTCATTTTGGTAGTGGGTCATTTTAGCGTTTTACAAAATTAGTCCTTATTACTACTTATATATTATAAAATATTATTAATAACTATGGTGAACTTAGATGTAAAATAAAAAACTTGTTAGCCTAGTGAGGTCGTATATAACCAACAAAAATCATGAGATTGCAAATTATACTCAACCCACCATCCACAAATTATAGGTGCGTGGCTACCCCAACATGTGCGTTTTTATGCGCACGATTTGTGAATTATCCACATACCGCAAACCAAACTTCCACTCAGATATGTGTGGGTAATGGATGTTAGTAGCTAGAGCAGTAACCTCATTGCCTGATGCCCTGATCATGTGGCTTAAATGTCATCATTTGCGGAAAAGCATATTTATACATCATATCATATATGAGGGTGGTGGCTGGTGGGAGATGATCAACATATAATTAAGGAGGAGAGATTGGAAGTTAGAGAGAGATCAAAAACTTCTATTGAAGGAAACGAGACCCCACTGGAAAGTGAATGCAATGAATGAACAACGAACCAAGAAAAGCAAACTAAAAGACCTCAAAATAAATAAAAGAAGCAAGAAAGGGTCCCTTAGAAGATTTCCTGGTGGGACATTTGAATGAATGAATGAATAGATGAAGCTCAGAGCAAAAAAACCGCATCATCATAGATGCAAGTAGTCTTTCTTCCCACACCAAAGAGAGTTGCAAATGTTTATGTGTTATGTTTTTTCTTTAATATCGAGCATTCTAAATATACGCTTTGAGATGGTTCTAGATAAAGTGATAGTGGCGATCGAAGTTAGAAATTAGAGCGAGGAGGGGTTGAAGATAATAAATTACAATTATTTTTTACGATTGAATTTAAATCTTGGAGTATGGGGGCTAGTGAGGAGGGGCTGAAGATAACAAAAATTGTAACCATTTTCGACGATTGAATTTAAATCGGGAGGAGGTGGCTAATGACCCTCCTCTTGCCACTCTTTTACGGCTTCCAAGGTACGAACACAAACATTATAACCTTAGATTAAAGTTGAGGAGGGGTTGTACACGTAGTTTCACCACTGTAATGTGAGTGAGAGGTCTTGTCTGATTGCGTACGGTAGAGCAATATTGGAAGAGGTAGTGTCTGAATGTGCCGTGAATGGGAAATATCTTTTGGAAAAAAAAAACAAGTTTGAGACAAACCAATTCGAAATTACAATTTTGTTGATGGAAACACCAATTACGAATATACTTGTTATTATATCAATAAATTGTGAAAATTGGATCTCAAAGCATGTCCGTAGTAGATCCATCATGGTGGTTAAAAAAGAGATTGCAGAATTGAGAAGCAAAAGAAACAAAATGGTATTGGTATGCCGCCAGTTAATTGCATTAATAAAATGTGATAAACATGTCTTTCTCCAACGCTTTTGTAGTACGACAAGTATATATGGATCGAGTAAATCATTCATTCATGAGCCTTTTCGCCGCGGGCTTCAATTGTGATTTGTGAGGCCTTTCTTTTTATAATAACTCGAGTCCTACCCACTAGCCGGAATATGATGTCGGCCATAGAATCGAGGCCGTCCGATGGGCAAATTTAACAGGCGATAGATCGGAGGGACGGCAAGAAAGACGACGGTGGATGATCCTTCATGGATCCATTATCGTTTCATTCCCACCTGTTTTTTTTTCCTTCTGTTTTGCTCAATTGACCACCTAATTTAGTTAGAGGTGAAAATTGAATTGGATGGATTTATTTATGAATTTTTATCAGATTTATGAATTTTAAGCGATATCTAACTTATAATTTATTATAAAAATGTTGAATTACGTACATTCTATTATATTATAAAAAATTACAATTTTAGTACGAAATTGTAAATATAAAGCTACTCTACTGTGACATTACACCAATCCATGAATCTAATCTATAAATTCCTAAGTTCATTTTAGTAGATAAATTTGAAAGATTTAGTATATTGAATTCAAACTGTCAACTCTACAATGACTTTCATCTATTCGATCTGTTACATATACATATATATGGTGGCTACTTCGGTGCACTCACTTTTTTGGGTGCATTCAGTGCACCCACCTTTAAAAGTGGTCATAATACATCAAATTTTGAAATTTAATGGGTAGCATTAGTCTCATATGATGATATAACACAGAATCACTACTAATCAACCCACTACCCTAACCTATTAACATTCAATTTTGAATCTAAACCCAAAATCCCAAATTGTAAACCCTAACCCTAACCCTAAATTCCTAAACCCTGAATCATTCAAATTAAAGTGAATCTTAAATGATTTTTGTACAAATTCATGTGGTTCTTGTTCATCATACTACAAGGGATGATTGACATCGTTTTCACATGAATCGTCTGCTCAGAATGACGATTATGAGGCGGGTGCATTGAATGCACCCAAAAAAGTAAGTGCACCGAAGACATATATATATATATAGAGGTATTATACTTCCAATAAGTAGAGTGTATCTTCGATTTATATTAAAAAAAAAAAAAATTGATCCCTGGTTTTCTAGATATCCTTGATAAATAGTTGTGAATGATTAAAAAAGAGAAAATTTAATAAACAAAATGCAAGTTATCAATTTATGGTTTAGACGAGAGTTCGGACCATAATGGACAATATCAAATTAATAAAAACAAAAATCCAAAGACTCATATTTGTTCATACTAAAAGATCTATTATTGATTTTCTCCGAACAACCGATTCGCGCGAGAGATCGAATGCATCGGGGGCCAACCTGATTGAGACTAAACCAGAGACCATGAATGCACACTCCTCTAGCTACCAAGTACCAACCACTCCTCTTCCAATTTCCATGCTTTCTCTGAAGTGATAAACCCCTCAAATCACGTCATCACTGATTAATTCTCTTCCCCCCGCATCTTAATTCAACTTGCATTATTATAAATCCAGAACGAAAACGGAAATAATGAACAAGAAAAAAAAAAAAAAACGGGGACAGGCTAGCTAAGCCAGACAACCCATACTACATAATAACATTATTAATTGCTCCTTCTTAAAGCTAAGTCGACCCCTAATCATTACCCCCACTTTGTCAATCGTTCGAATCATATCATCATGCCAAAGCTATCGATCGTCCCTGTTTTCATTTTCACAAAAAAGGGTTGGGTTGTGACAAAATGTCATTCTTTAGGGTTTGTTTATAAATTAACCCTAGCTAGGCTTGCGATCCATGGAAGCAAAAGTCGCCCTCTTCTGTTATCAAAATCAACGGGAGGTGGGGTGATTTGCATCAATCAACAGAAAATTCCATTTCGCTTTCCATTTCAATTCTCTCTTTGCAAACGGGCCTCTAAAACATATAACGGTATAGGTACGTTTTTCTTGCCTTTTTTTTTTTGTCTACGTATGACAAACTAACCTATAGCTCCCAGCTGGTGTTTAGAATAATCATGAGTAACTAATGTCTAATCAAATATTAATTCAATATTGGACGCTACCAACTTAATTGATTATGTTAAGATCGATGTTGGGACTAAGAACTCCTACATAAAATATATGATATATATACACTTAATTCCAACATGTTTCAGACACACTTCATAATGTTTCAGGCATACAATTCGTTAGCAAAATAAATCAATTTGTAACATTTATCAAAGCCTCTCATAATTTGGAGGCTCCCCTGCTTCAATATCAATGGTGGTAAACCTAGAGTATTGTGAAATACGTAAATATCCATATGTGTTTGATAGAGTTTGTTAATAGTTACAATCGAATAAGTGAATTAGTTTTAATAATAATAATAATAATAAGTGAGTTTGTTTTTTGTGTATTTATTTTTTAGGTGTATGTTATGCACTATTCTATTATGATTATTGTCATTTTCATCATCCGACTCCTCTTAAAATGGTAAATCATCAGTCGTATTATGACGAACAAGAAAATGTATGATTTTATTAAGGAATAATTTAGTAAGTATTTCTTATTTCTATCCATCTAATGAACCTTATGCGAGCAAACTACTTTATAGTAAACATACATGAAATTAGTTGTAATTCTAGTTCATTCAATTGCTACTTTCAAAATGCTAGAGATGAAACTTTAATTCTAATTTTATAGAGGGCTTGTATGACGATATGAGCATTGTCTAATTTTGTTTAATTTATATGTCAGGCATGGGCGCTAAAAAAACAATAAACTTAGAGTGGCAAATTTTCATCATGCATAACCTATATCTTTGGTTTTAGGTTGATATTTTTTCATTATTATCTGCGTTAACCTAGTGCCACCGTCATTAATATTCTTAACCATCTATTTAATTACGAGGAGGGGAATTATGAAAAAGCAGAGGATGAGGTCTTGTCCTTGAACAGTGTGTTGATAATATTAGGGGCCAATGGAAAGAAAGAAAAAAAAAGGGAAAGAAGAAAACTGTTACAATTAAGTAAGGATTACGGGAGATAAGAATTAAGTGACATCCTTTTCAAGAGGGCACTTCATGTCGCCTAACTAATCAAGTGATTTAATATGCGGTTCTAATCCTTCCTTGTAGTTTAAAACACACAATTATATGTGTTGCTGTACATTATATACACATCGTTACATCATCAACAATCTTTGGAAATTTTGTTATTTGACTATATAATTATGACCACCATTAAAGTATCCCAGCTCAAAAGGAAAGTCACTATTTGTGTATAGCTAGCTTGCTTATTACACCTATCTAAACAAACCTTAATTATCAAGTATATTACTTGATTTACAAGCACTGAGGTATTGCGTACATGGGACTTGGACACCCTCAAATGTTTGTGCTCCATTTCAAATATCCAAAGAGTAATTGTTAATACCAATTAGAAAGACCTTTAAAGACGAAACAATATGAAATTCTTTGATCAAAACCAACCAACATTAAACGAAGTATCTAGCACAACATTAAGCTGAACATTATTCTTTGATCAAAACCAACCAACATTAAACGAAGTATCAAGCACAACATTATAAGCAGAACGACAACAACTTCCATTAGCTGCCGCACATTATCGAGTATTGACATAGACAAATATACTTCGCGTTGATCAAAATTAAGGACCGGCTTAGTGGATTGGGATGGTGGTAACATCGATCATCCTCCCTCGTACGATAATTAATGCACTTGGACCGATAATCATCTAATGAATATTTAACGCCAGTAAATTATTCTTCAATTCTGTACAAGCGGGCTGTAAACGAAAAAATACATTCGTGTTTAAATCCAATGGAAATATTTTTGTATGGCCTGAACTTTAATCAAAATAAACATCCTGGTCAATCTTTTCGATCTATAACATCCTGGCCCGAACTATAAATCAAAATAAATAATTTGGCCAGATTCAACTTTTGACCGTTAACTTGGACGGTCAAATGCGTTGACTAACGGTCAACGCGCCATGTCACTGCCAACTCAGCAAATTTCAATTAATTTTTTTAATTTACACCTATTTTCATTTCCTTTTTTAATTTTTAACAATAAAAAAAGGAAAGAAAATGAAAATAGGTGTAAATTAAAAAAATTAATTGAAACTTGTTGAGTTGGCAATGACATGGCGCGTTGACTAACGGTCAACGCGTTTGACCTTCCAAGTTAACGGTCAAAAGTCGGATCTGGCCAAATTGTTTATTTTGATGTATAGTTTGGGCCAGGATGTTATAAATCGAAAAGATTGGCCAGAATGTTTATTTTGGTCAACGTTCAGACCATACGTAAGAAATAGAAATGAAAGAAGAAGGAAAGGAAGCAGCTGCTAGGTTTAGCTGCTGAATGATTGGAGGGGAAATCTCAGAGAAAGCTGTATGCTTCTCTGTTTCCTTTTATACCATCAGAAATCAACTACAGTAAAAACGGAAATGAAGTTTAAAACTGTAATTTAAATATTACTGTGCCTAACACGTGGCAACAAACAACCGTCCAACACTTAACGGCTAGCTAGTAACGGAGACAATGGAAACGGCATCGGATTGAACAAACGGCTGCGTATTACTCTTCTTCAACCTTCGTCTTCCCTCTGCCTTGGTTCTCCAGCTCTGCACAGCAGGGTTCATCAATCTGCTCTAATACTCCCCCACAAGTTGGCGAGTGTATATCCAAAACTCCCAACTTGCTAAGTAGAAATTTCAGCCTGTATCTTGTCATGCCTTTGGTAAACAAATCTGCCAACTGATCTTCTGTTCTGACATGTTCAAGCTTGATTAATCCAGACTTCAGCCTTTCTCTTGTAATGTGACAATCAATCTCGATGTGTTTCGTTCTCTCATGAAACACAGGATTTTCAGCTATATGGATAGCTGATCTGTTGTCACAATAAACCTGAACAGGTAGAGGAATTTTGACACCCATTTCTGCAAGCAATCCTTTTAACCACTGCAACTCACAAACCAGGTGTGCTAAGGCTCTGTACTCAGCCTCAGAAGATGATCTAGAAACTGTACTCTGTTTCTTAGACTTCCAGGTTATCAGACTGTCCCCAAGTAAGGTGCAATACCCTGTGATTGACCTCCTTGTGTCAGGGCAACTTGCCCAATCAGAATCTGAAAAACCTCTTAACTTCAATTCACAATCAGATTTAAAAAGCAATCCTTGTCCTGGAGCATGTTTCAAATACCTTAAAATCCTATAGGCAGCCTGCAAGTGCTCACTATATGGATCCTTCTGGTATTGGCATAATTGCTGGATAGCAAATGTTAAATCTGGTCTAGTGATAGTAAGGTAGTGCAATCTTCCTACTAACCTTTTGTAAACTTCAGGATTAGGAAGAGGCTCCCCTTGCTTAGCAGATAGCTTCAACTTGTAGTCAATTGGTGCCAAGCAATCCTTTGCTTCCAGATATCCAGTGTCTTCCAGCAACTCCATACAGTATTTCCTTTGATTCACATGAATCCCATTTACATCCCTATAAACTTCCAGGCCAAGGAAAAACTTTAGATCACCAAGATCCTTCACTTTAAATTCTCTTCCCAAGAACAATTTCAATTGTTCTATGTCTCCCAAGGAGGCTCCTGCAATCAGTATATCATCTACATACACCAGAACAATCAACATTCTTCCCTGAATTCTCTTGACAAACATTGAATAGTCTGAAGCAGTTTGAGCAAAGCCATTTTTCAACAATGAACTAGCTAATTTGGCAAACCACTGCCTGCTGGCCTGTTTTAGTCCATAAAGAGACTTCTTTAACTTCAGTACCATTCTCTTGTCAGGTAAGTTCATCCCTGGTGGTGGCTTCATGTAGACTTCTTCATTTAACTCTCCATGAAGGAAAGCATTTGATACATCCATCTGATGTATAAGCCAGTCATTAGCAGCAGCCACAGCTAACAAAACCTTAACTGAGTTAATCTTGGCTACTGGTGAAAATGTATCCAAGAAATCTATCCCATAAATTTGAGTAAATCCCTTGGCCACTAATCTGGCCTTGAACCTCTCTATGGTACCATCAGCTCTAAGTTTCACCTTATACACCCATTTACAACCAATTGCCCTCTTACCAGTTGGCAAATAAGCCGGTTCCCAAGTCTGATTTGCTTCAAGAGCATCAGATTCATCCTTCATGGCCTCCCTCCAACACAGTTCTTTACAGGCTTCTTCATAAGTTTTTGGTTCAGTAACAGCCATGGCACTCATCACATAAGTTTTATGTGCAGGTGGGAGTTTGTCAAAAGTGACATACTTATCCATGGAGTACTTGCTAACTGCTCCAACCTTGTAGTCTTTATGCCAAACTGGCACTGTTCTGATTCTGTCAGATTTCCTTAACTCAGGACCACCTTCTACATCCTCAAATTCAAGTTGTGCAACTAACTCATCCTCCCCTTCAGAGTTCACTCCTGAAGACTCTACTACTTCACCAACAGAGGAAGCAGGCAATGTGTCTGTGGCAGAAGGAAAAGAAGGTGAGGAAGGAGGAGTTGAGGAAGAAGGAGTAGAGGAAGAAGGAGGTGAAGTCTGAGAAGGTGTGGAAGAGGAGAAAAATGGATCAGGAGGAATAGGATTATTGGGAAAAATTGGTGTATTGCTAGAATAAGTAGGCTGTGGTGGTGAAGAGGTAGGAACAGAAGTAGAAGAAGAAGGGTCTAAGAAAGGGATAATGGTCTCATAAAAGACCACATGTCTGGAAACAAAGGTTTGATGTGTGTTAAGATCAAAGAGTTTGTACCCTTTGATCCCTGGAAGGAAGCCAAGAAAGACACATTGCCTGGCTCTGGGACTGAATTTGGTTCTGTCTCTCAACAAGGTAGATGCATAACATAAGCAACCAAAAACCTTTAATAGATCTAAGGCTGGTTGTTTATGATACAGTAACTCAAAGGGTGAGACACCATCAGTTACTGGTGAAGGCAATCTATTAATTAAGTAGACTGCATGCAGGATGCAATCACTCCAAAAATGAAGTGGCAATCCTGATTGGAAACGTAAAGCCCTGGCAACATTGAGAATATGCTGGTGTTTCCTCTCAACTCTGGCATTCTGCTCAGGAGTTTCCACACAGGAAAGCTGATGTTCAATCCCAAAAGCATTGTAGAAATCAATCATGTGAAACTCACCCCCCTGATCACTCCTTATAACCTTAACAGTTTTGCTAAACTGGTTCTGAATCATAACACAAAAGGATTCCAGAAGATGAGAAGCTTCTGATTTCTGTTTCATTAAAAATACCCAAACACTGCGTGTATGATCATCCACAATTGAAAGGAAATAAGAAAAGCCATCATGTGACTTAACAGCAAGAGGTCCCCAAATGTCTACATGAACCATATCAAAAGCTGAAATAGCTCTACTGTCACTAATAGGAAAGGGCAGTTTCTTTTGTTTTGCCAAGTGACAGGTTGGACAATGTTTAAAAGAAGTTCTATTACATCCAGTAGCTTGATTTTCTCTGTCTCTACTTGGATGCCCCAGTCTCCAATGCCAAAGGTCTATTTGGTGAGGAAGGAAATTGTAAGTGGTTGCTACTTGGTGGGATGAGATGTCAGATGTGGACCTTGATGGAAGAGTGAGGTGGTAGAGTCCCCTATCTTGTTTTGCTGAACCAATCAGGTTCTTGGTTGTTTGGTCCTGAATATGACAAGAGTCAGATTCAAATAACAAGGAAATGGGAAGGTCATGGGTAAGTTTGCTAATGGAGACTAGGTTAAAAGTGAAACTGGGAACTAGTAGAACATCTTGTAAAATCAACCCATTTGGTATTTGGACTGAACCTATATGACTCACTTCCACTTTAGAGCCATTAGGTAGATAAACAAACTGATTTGAAACTGATCTAGCTTGTTTGAACACAGCAAGAGTGCATGCTATGTGGTCTGAAGCACCACTATCCAAAATCCAGACTTGAGTCAGGGCCATCAAACCATGTTGAGCATAAGAAGAGAGAACATATTTACCAGCATAGTTGGGTTGAGATGGTAAGTGTTGTGAGACTGAGAATGAGGCATGCTTGATAGAAGGGGATAATGGTGGAGATGGACTCATGCTATCAGGCTGTTGCAGAAGTTGCCTTAACTTGTTCAGTTCTTCATTAGTAAAACTGAGGGATCCAGTTGAAGAAGATTTGCTTTCATAGCCAGCACTTTGTCCTGAGGAAATGGAGTCACCACTTTGTGAATCTGATTGGGAAACAGAACCAACAAAACCACCTCCTTCAGCCATTCGTGCTTTCTTGTTCTTCAACCTATAGCATTCCTCCTTTAGATGACCACTCATCTTGCAATATCGACAGAACTTCCCTTCTCTAGCATTCTCATACTTAGTCTCCTTGTTAGAGTTCAAATTCTTGTTCTGATCAGATTGTCCTTGTGCAGCAAGTGCCACTGACTGAATACCCCTGGTGCTTTTCCCTTTATCACCTTGTAACTTCTGCTCATGTTGTAAAACATCATCCAAAGCAACTTCCACAGCAGGCAAGGGTTTAAGCATGAGTATTTGAGATTGAATCACATCATAGTCTGATTTCAATCCCTTCAAAAACTTAATCAGATAGTCAGTTTCAAGCTTCTGCTTATAAGCAACAACTGCTGCACAAGGCCTAACTCTTACAGCTAGACAATCACATTCAACCACAGGGCTATACTGCTGAATCTCTTCCCATAAACCCTTAAGTGTGATATAGTACTGAGTCACACTCATATTACCTTGCTTACAGGCAGCCATTTCATCCTGCAAGTTAGATAGCTTGATGGCATTAGACCTGCCAAATCGAGCCTTCAATTCATCCCACACAACTTTTGCATTTTCATGCTGTAAAACACTCCTGCTAATGTCTTTATGTACTGAATTCAGAATCCAACAGAGAACCATAGTATTTGAAGCATCCCATAAAACGAAATCAGGATGAGTATGATCAGGCATTGGAAGTGTGCCATCAATGAAACCCAGCTTATGCTTGGTCTTAAGAGCCATTCTTACAGCTCGCTGCCAGGTCTGGTAGTTAGATCCATCCAGGGTTTCAGCAACGATGGATTGGCCTAGGTTTTCACTGGGATTAATGTAATAGGGACTTCCAAACACCAGACCCAGATGAGTATTGTTACCATTCTGCTGTTGACGAGCATCCGCACCAGGATTGTTGTAGGTCTGGCCTCCAGCACCACTTGACTCAGCGTTGAAAGTGCCAAATGGTATACCTGAGTTTTGAGAACCTGGTGGAGTTTGTGGAGGTGGATTGTTCGCCATTGTAGACTATGAAGCGGAGAGATGGATCAGCGCCGCTCTGATACCATAAGAAATAGAAATGAAAGAAGAAGGAAAGGAAGCAGCTGCTAGGTTTAGCTGCTGAATGATTGGAGGGGAAATCTCAGAGAAAGCTGTATGCTTCTCTGTTTCCTTTTATACCATCAGAAATCAACTACAGTAAAAACGGAAATGAAGTTTGAAACTGTAATTTAAATATTACTGTGCCTAACACGTGGCAACAAACAACCGTCCAACACTTAACGGCTAGCTAGTAACGGAGACAATGGAAACGGCATCGGATTGAACAAACAGCTGCGTATTACTCTTCTTCAACCTTCGTCTTCCCTCTGCCTTGGTTCTCCAGCTCTGCACAGCAGGGTTCATCAATCTGCTCTAATAATACGAAAATATTAACCCTAAATCAAACTTCCATATTAAAGAGTTTATGATTAGGTTGATGGATATCATGAAAACAAAACAAAACCCTTCTAATTCTACAACCATAACTATATGTACTCTTTTATTTAGATTGGAGGGCTTAAGGTTGGATATTGAATCCATAGTCCTGAGGTTAGGTGTGTGATCACATACCGCTAAGAACTGCAAAAATGAAGATACTTCGAAGGAAGAGACATCGGCAGATCTAGCTAGGAGGCCATCTCCGGGCCACGGTCCAACTCTCCCCTGGATCTAGAGCTAGTATATCCTTGTAAATTTTCAATTTTCGGTATTTGTTTTAGAGTTTGCTAGGTTACGGCCCAGTGCTTTTTCGCCTCTTTTTTTTAATGTGGTTCAGTGCTCTATCCTGGATCCGCCATTGGGAAGAAAGAAGCGTCATTGTGAATGTTAGATCGTCTATACACACAGATGCATGTAGAAAATGAACTTGGATATGGAGGTCAGGAGACCCGAATTCAAACTACACCCATCATCACTTTAGTGTATATATGAAGTTTGCTGATGTTCAAAGGCTTCTCGTTTGCAGTACTATCCAAAGGAATATCGGTAACAGATATTATTCGTGGTGCGTATACAGTACAACACACGAAAACAACGAATATGTACATATATATGTTTGTAGTAGTGACGTCGGCTGATGAATACTAAGCTAGTTTGAATTTCCAATGATAAAAGCTTCATCCATAGCCAAGCTATAGGAGAAGAGAAACTATATATCGTGGCCAGTCCAGTCTCTGGAACCACCGGCAAAAAATTCAGAAAGCTGCCTTCGTTTGTAGACGTGAGAAGGAAAACAACAGCTATGGCTGGGCTAGGGTTTCACTTCACGTAATATTAATACAGAAAGGATGTACGTAGAAAATAGCGAGCAGGGAGACAGACACCACCACCACCAAACCATTGATCTGAAGGTAGCTTTTGCCGGCCGATGGAACGTCGTTTTAAAGGTTAGCTGGAAAACTGACATGGGTCCCCGTGAAAATGGAAACGAAGCAATGCAAGGCTGCACCCAGCCACCACTAGAACTAGAAGAAGAGCTTGTTCCAAAACACACATTACCACCAAAAAAAAAAAAAAAAAGCAGTGGATCCCACCACCATCGCCATCATCTGTCCATTCTGCCTCCTCTATGTTTTTCTTCTTCTTCTTCTTTCCTTTTGCGCCCTCCCAAATTGAATTTTGCTACCATTGTTGTGATGGTAGGAGTTAATTAGGATGAGCTGATATCGTTGGATTTTCGAACATGTATAGTCTCGGTTGTTAGATGAACATGTAGATGGTATTGCACGATTCAACGACCGATGTCTGAGCTGTGCCCTCATTAATTCATTGATATATACTAATCAGGCGGTGTTTAACCGTTGTTGCGTTAGTTCAAGAAATCGTAAGATATCGGGTTGACACGATGTGCTTCTGAATTCAAATTTAAAATCCTTTTATTATTTCGAGAAAAACTGTTCGAGGTGTCCATCAACATATAGTTGTAAACTCAACTCATCTAGCGCGACTTCCCATGATTTTTTATCGGGTATTTACAGAGATAGCCGCGGACTCATATTTAATTTATTTGTAAGTTCTGGTTTGGCCTATATAAATGATTCTCAATTATTATTAGTATATATTAACTATATTAATTAATTGAGGGGCATAATAATTATAACATCCCGTGCGTGTTACTTTTAAAAACCATCACTTGGCCACTGGCCTGTCTTAGCTAGTTGGCTCATCGATCAGTTTCCATTCCATTCCATTCTCTTCTTCCCTTCTCTTCCTTCCATCTCATATATTCTCCGGCAGCCGAAACTTCGAATCTCTCTTCCCAAAATCACACCAAACCCAGAAAAAGCCCAAATCAGTTTCAGACAAGGGCGAAGAAAACAGAGTAGCTAAGCTAGCTTAATTTATAACTAATATTTTGGCATATGGGTCACCATTCATGCTGCAACCAGCAGAAGGTGAAGAGAGGGCTGTGGTCGCCGGAGGAAGACGAGAAGCTCATCCGCTACATCACAACCCACGGCTATGGCTGCTGGAGTGAAGTCCCCGAGAAAGCCGGTAACTAATTAATTATTAGCACAAAATGAAACTATCTTAATTCCTTGCTAATTAATTAAGCTGGTTATCAATTATTTGATTGTAATTCTGGGGTGGCCGGCGGTTGTTGGTTGTGATTTATAAATATATTTTATAATAATGGAAAAGGGCTCCAGAGATGCGGGAAGAGCTGCCGGTTGAGGTGGATAAATTACCTGAGGCCGGACATTAGGAGAGGCAGATTCACTCCCGAAGAAGAGAAGCTCATCATCAGCCTCCACGGCGTCGTTGGCAACAGGTGATCAATCATTTTATTTATTTATTTGTTATTGTATATACAATTTTATTTTTCTCTTGACTACTTCTCTCTTAATTAGCTATATATCTAGTTTATCACAATTTCGCTCCATTAATTGCGCTTCCTTTCTTTCCTCCTTTACAATAAGTGATGTTAGGTCCTTCCAAAAATAAAAAAAATAAGAGAAATTTTATATTAATTAATCTAATTCTATCAACAAAGGACTAGGTTCGCGTTCTTTTTTCCTCAAAACAATCTTACAAGTTATATAAGCTTCACTTTAAATAATTTATGTCTGATCATACGAGTATCAGAGTATGTTCTTTGTTACATTAGGGTTTAATTGAGCCACTAATTTTTTTTCTTGCCACCTTCTGTTCTTTTCCTATTTCTGTTTCATTCGTTTTACTCGTTTTCGAATTAAGTTGTTCGTAAGGAAAAAACATTTCCTTGATGGTCACTCATCAAATCGGGTGCTGAGTCAGTTGTCCCAGCTTAACTCGTTAGCTTTATTTGTAAAGCGATAGTATAAAGAAATATTAATTATTTTAATACGTTTCTACCAAGCTGTATAATTACGTTGTTTCATGGCGGCCTTTTTCCTACTGTACATGATTCTCTCCGTCCTAAATCACATTTAGCTTCTTCTGCTTTGATTTACGGCGGTGCATGGCATCTCTTCTCTACGAAGTCTTTGTCAGAAAACTACTCATTCATTATACGATGATTATATTAACAATCTGCATGCGTGCGTGTCAATTTATGGGGAGGAAAAAAAAAACAAAACAAAGGAAGAACTGACAATTACATGGAACCATGCATATTGCAAGTGGTGATTTGGAGTTTTGTTCACTGGTTTGTCGAGTTGCCGTTTTTGTTTTGTCCATATATGGTTCCAATATTTCCCCTTTTTTTGTCCTCCTTAAATCGAAGTGTGTTTTTGTCCATATTCCTTTGGCCAAATATTCTGCGAAACGTTCCAAGGATGATAGCATGGCAGCGATTCTGCACGTAGGCGATTCAGGATGTGTCCAAAAAATCAGCAAAACAGAGTATCTGTGTTGTATAAAACCACTTATTAAATAATTGCATGCACTACTGCCCTTCTAAACAAAACGCCAAATGGGTTTTAGCTTCCTGTTCCCCTAAGCTTACACAAGTCTCCATTCCAAATTTCCAATCAATGGTAGTCTCTATACAATAACTATCACAGTTTAATCTCTGTCGGTAAAAAAAATGAAAGTTATTAACAGTCCCCTAGTCATCCCTACCATATATATCCAAGGTTTGAAGTAATACGAGTGTTTGTCCGTTAACTTCTGCAAATCTTACGGTTAAAATGTAATTAGAGTTGTACAAAAGAATGATAGAAGCTGGTGCTTTGTCTTGTTTTCATTTTGGAGATTTTGTTTGTACTTTTTTAAAGTGTTTAATAAAATTTGTGTCGACATTACATAAAAATGAATGGTAGAAGCACGAATAAAGGTTTGGTCTAGCGATTCTATGACACGTTTTTAATTTGAATTTCTTGAATATATATCATATAACAATAAAAGTTAAAAACTTACACCACTCTTATAATAATGAAAAATATTGGGGGAGGGGTAGTATAGTTATTTCCATGAAATTTGGTTAATATTTCTACTAGAGAGTAAATGCAATTAGAAAATCTTTATACGTTTTCAATTGTCCTAATGAGAATCGAATGGGTAAAATGGGTACACGACATTGAAAAATAATAAGTCGTTTAACTAATTAATCAAACATTTAGAAACAAGTAAGAACGCTGTCACGCTGGCTTAGCTCATTTAAGGAGAGACACGAAACCAACTTCCGGTCCGGACTATGAATTTGTATTCTTTCATTAGTTCATTACTTGTCACCTTTTTCTCTATGTAATTAATATTTAATTGGATCGGTATTTCCTTAAATTAACTTGATCAATGTTGTGCTTGATTGTCTACTTGTGCAAAATACAATTTGATGCTGCCGAACAATTAAGTGTGCATGGTATACACAATACAAAACAAAAAGTTTCTATGTACAACGTACTTGTTTCAAGAAAAAAAACAGCACAATATCTTGTTTTGATGTGCTCAAATCAATGCCAAATTATGTATAGAAAAATGGTTTTACCAATTAATATGAACATATGCTTTCACTAGCAAGAGTGGCAAATTGTGTGAAAAAAGTAATTTACTTCATCAAAAAATGTGGTTTGCGTTGGATGAAAACAAAAGGAGAAAGTATTTGTTGTTTGACGTTTATAAGTATAGCATGCGATTTGTTTTTGAAGCAATTTTTTTCTTCTATTAAATATTAGTCGGATGTATATGTTGAAATGCTAAATATAATTTTGTTATATAAATTAATACATCTATTTTCACCAAAATTTTGTTATTTACGTTGAACAGATGGGCTCATATCGCAAGTCACTTACCCGGAAGAACAGACAACGAGATAAAAAATTATTGGAACTCATGGATCAAAAAGAAGATCAGAAAACCTTCTCCTTCTCCTCCACCACCACCACCGTCACACTCCTCCTTACTCCTCCAACCTCCGCCACCATCCTCTAGCCGGCAGCAGCAACCGCCAGCTTCCAACGGCGCCCAGTTAGTTAACATAACCAACGTCATAACCAATAATAACTACCCAACTTCCACCCAACTCCTTGACTTTTCCACGACCGCCCACCAACCCGACCCGACATCATTATTACCCGCAGGAGGACGCGGGCCCCACCACCTCCTCCCGCCACCCGCCGACGCCATCTTCCCTCCTCCTCCGCTCTTCATCTTCGACGCCGCAGCGGCTGCCGGCGATCACCAGAGCCAGCTTTTCAACGAGGCTGCGGCCGGAGGATGGAACGACTTTCACAACCACCACCACCACCACCATCATAACCACAATACTACGCCGCCGCCGCAGCCGTTCGGGTTCCTGCCACCGTTGTTCGAGAGCGAAGGGGAGCACATGGAGGCGGCGGAGAGCATGGCGGCGTTGAGGTGCCTGCAGAGGCACGGGGAGCTGATGATGAGCGACGACTGGGCGCCGGCGTCGTCGGGGAGTTTCCTGTTCTGGGAGGAGAACGACGTGGTTGTCGACGGCAGGGGAGTGCTCGCCGGCGGGGAGGTGGATGGAGTGATTGGCGGCGGCTGTTCGAGTAATGCGGCGCCAAATATGGCGGCGGTAGGAGGGATTTCGAATTCCGCTCCTTTTGCTTCGTCGCTATAGTAATAATTATTCTACATTATTATAAAATAATAATAATAATAATAATACATAATCATACTTGCATATTTATAAATCCTAGGGTGGAGTGGAATAAATCAATTTATGATCCCTTTACCCTTGTTAACCTTCCATTTTTGGAGTTTCATTATAGAGATTTGATTTTTCCCCCCTACTACAGGCTTGTTGAAAAGAATGTGTACGTTTCCAGCGTTAAGGATTCTTTCATGGGTTGGAAGAGTGTTGTTGTTACATTGCACGAGATTTTTATTTTTGTTGTTGGTGTGTTTGGGACTCCTTTGGGTTGTTCTTCACTTCTTTTCTTTGTAACAGAAGTTCCACATCCATAACTGAGATGTGAGGAGGAAATGAGAGGGATTTTGATTTGACAATAATATTAATGACATATTTGTATATGAATTTGACCTTACCGCATGATTAATTCAATATTGTGAACATGTTCTATCATTCTACGTTAAACTTATCTCATTCTTTTGTTTATACTTTATACACTTCCATTCCATTATTTATGAGCTCTTTTCCCCCCTTCTTTCTTTAGCTGGGGTTGATTTTATGTTTCCATGCGAAGGGGTTTGGTATTATGCGTATATTATTTCATAAACTTCTAGTGGTAAGTATGGATGAGAGAAGGTGTTCGAGTCCACAAAAATGTCAATGGCGTAGGAGCTAAGAGCACATTTCCACCGGAAAAAGTGGGAGAAATTGTGCAGGCCAAAGAAAGATGGAGGGATGGGGTTCAGGGATCTCAAGATTTTCAATAAGGCCATGCTTGCTAAGAAACTATGGAATATTCATGTTTTTTGGTGGCTCGGCTGCTTAAGGCAAAATACCACCCACGTACTTCTATCTTGGAAGCAAAACTAGGATGGAGGCCAAGCTATATCGGGAGGAACTTAATGAGAGCTTTGGACCTATAGAATTTTGGAAGTCGTTGGAGAATTGGCTCTGGAGAGGAAGTCAGAATTTGGGGAGATAAATGGGTCCCTAATCTGGTTAATCACGAGGTTCACTCATATTGCCCTTTCTTGGATTGGGACGCTAAAATTTCTAGCCTTATCGATCAAGAGACAAGAACTTGGAGACAGGACTTGCTTGAGATTATCTTTTCAGTGGAAGAACAACATGCAATAATGGCAATTCCTCTTTCTCCAGTCATTGAAAAGTATGTCTTATGGTGGACAGGCTCTGAAGACGGGAACTATTCCGTTAAATCTGGCTATCTTACTGAACAGAAAAGAAGGCTGGAGGAAAGTACATGAGGCATCTCAGGTACTGAAGAAGGCTTCTGTTGGAAGGAGTTGTCGAAATTAAAGGTACCAGGAAAGATTAAAACCTTCATCTGGAAGGCTGCTCATAATATCCTTCATGTGGGAGTCAAGGTCAGTAAAAAAGTAAAGCAAATGGGTAATGAATGTCCAAATTGTGGTCTTAGAGAAACCCTTAAACATTGTCTGGTGGATTGCAGCAAGAATACTAGAATTTGGAGTAAGACTCCCCTAACAAATATGTTTTACAAAGCTGAAGGCTTAACTTGTAGAAAGTGGCTCATGGAGGTCTTGAAGAACTATTCGAATAAGGATGTTGCACAGTTCTGCTCTCTACTCTGGTTTTTGTGGAAGGATAGGAACAACTTCCTATTCAATAACAAATTTATGCAGGAATGGGAGGTGTTTCCCCATGCAGATATCCAGTGTTTCATGGAAGTATAGAGGAAGGATGAAATGGCTATAAGGCAGGACTGTAGGAAGAATTGCAACCGGCAAAAACCTCCATTTGGAGTCTTTTAACTAAACACGGATGCTGGGATTACAAGCAGGGGGGAAGTGGGTCTGGGTTGCATTCTAAGGGACTGGAATGGAGCTGTTGTGTTCGCAGCAAATAAGAGAGTCAAAGTTAAATGGCCACCAGATGTAGCTGAAGGAATGGATGTACTTATAGGTGTCAATCAGGCGGGTTCGGGCTGGGTTCAATCGGGTTCGGGTTCAAACGGGTTGCGGGTTAGTCGGGTTGCGGGTTCATCGGGTTGCGAGCAAATCGGCTTACGGGTTCATCGGGTTTTGGGTCGGGCGGGTTGTGGGCGGATCGGGTTTTGGGTTGTTCGGGCCCGCGCATCTAGTAACTTAAATCACTACAAGAAAAAACATAGCTAGTGTCGGTTATTTTATATGTTTAGTGTCGGTTTTAACAGATACTAATTCTTTTTGTGTCGGTTCACTTAACCGACACGAAAGTTGTCGACACTAAACCGATTCGTGTCGATTTTGGACAACCGCTGGAATAACCGACACTAATTATTTATCCAGAAAATTATTTTTTACTTGAAATTGTTATCTGTGTCGGTTCACTAACCGACTCAACTTAGTCAAATTTTTAATAAAATAAAAAATCCCCAGCGAGTCAATCGTCGCAGGCGACCATTCTCCCCCTCTCCGGCCAACCCTCTTCTTTTCCTATCCCTCGATATATATCAAAACTATTAGAAAAAACAAAGATCTGCAAAGCTGAACTCACAAAAGCTGTTCTTCATTACCAAACTCTTCTTCATTCACGAACCCAGAAAAGTTTCACAAACCCAGAAAATACAAGCCCCTAACCCAACAATTACAACCCTTTTAAACCCAGAAAATGGGAACTCCAAACCCAACAACCACAGATACAAACCAGAGAACAAAATCCTATCTTCTTCCAAACCAACCGAATCAAAATTTGCTCTTTCTCCTCCTTAAACCCATTAGATCCCAAAAACTAAAAAACACAAAAAAATGCAACAGAATCCTTCTCCGCCGTCGCCGCGAGTCTCCCACCAGGCCTTGTGTTCATTGATCTCCGTCGGGATTGCGCTCGTCGACCTCCACCTCCGCCACCAGCTCTTGCTACCTCTGTCCCCTCAACCTCAGCTCCCTACGTTTCCTCTCGATCTCTCCGTTATCGTCGCCAGCTCTCGCTGATCGTCGCTATCTCGGTTTCTCTGCCATCATCGTCGGATCTCGCCGAGCGTCGCCATTTCGGTCTCTCCGCCATCGTTGCCGGATCTCGCCAGAGGAAGAAGCTAGCGACAGCGGGGATCTTTTTTTTAAGAGAGGAATCGAAGGAAGGAGATGAAAGAAAGGTCTATTTTTTTTCTAGAACAGAGGAGCAGGTGAATGGTTCGTTTTTTGGAGAGGAACGAAGAAGGAAGCAGGAGAGAAAGAAGGAAAGTTGAGAGAGAGAAGGAAAGTTCAGCGGCGAGAGATTGGATTAGGGAGAGGAGAGGGGTTTGTTTATTTGGGGTAAAGGGACTTTTTTTTAAAGTAAAAATTTTCAATTCTTAGGAGGGAAGTTTTGGCGGATAGGGAAAATATTTGGAGCCAAAATAGCATATAAATTTTGCCAAAATTCAAAACCCCCATAATTGTGTCGGTTAAACTAGTAACAGACATAAATCCGATAAAATTGTGTCGGTTCAAATCTCTGACGCAAATCAATCGTTTAGTGTCGGTTAAATGAACGACACAAAACACCCGACACTAAATGTCTGTTTTCTTGTAGTGACTCATTACTCATTACCAACTTACACATTTTATTACACTAATTTAAAATATTTTCTCAACTTTTTAATCAATTTATTTCTACCTCGTATATATATACTTTTTTTTTTGAAAAAAACTAGTCAAAATGTTAAATCAATTTGTATGACTTGCAAACTTGTTATGTAATTAATCATAATTGGTAAAGTATTATAGCTAATAGTAATGGTGATATCAATATTTGCAACCAAAAAATACTGTTAATTGTTTATTTGATATTTTAGTATTAATTCAGTAGTAATTGGATTAAAGTATCTCATTTAGTATAACCATGCAAATCTGGTATTTGGCGTGTGGTATTTGGCAAAAGCATAGTGATAAGAGTTATTTCGAAATAACTCATTGCCCAAATAACTTTAGTAAACTGTTGCCAAACGAGTTATTTGTAAAATTGTTCGAATTATCCTAAAAATTGAACCATTAAAGATTAGCTATCAAATTTAGTAAAATTATTGTAACTTCAATCATAACTTACTCAATAGCATATATCCTATACACTTAGCCTTACCCTCAATCAACAATATTAAGTTAGTATATGTTGTTGATTGTATATCCTAAACCATCAATACATTATACACTAACCACATAACCTATATCCAATACCCTAACCATATGTCCTTGAGTTGTGATTTTGCTAGTATAGTTAATTTAAAAGTGAAATTCATACTTTGATTTTCAAAACATAGATAAAAGTGATATTTGCTAATTGTTATACCCTAACGATATATTCTATACTTTACACCACATACCTTGTACCCTAACCACGTACCATAAACATAAATTAAAAAGGGATCTCCTGCCGTTAAAGACTTCAAATGACTTCAAGTGAACATAAGTTAATAAAAAACTTAGAACCGTCAAAACCATCAATATCTTATACCCTAACCATATACACCCTAAACCATATGTACCTTATACCTTATACCCTAACCATATACTTTTTATCCTAAACAACGAACCGTCAAAGATTACTTATCAAGTTTAATATAAATTGTTGTAACTAATGGTTAATTTATTTATTAGCCCATAAACAATCACATACATATATACATATTAGCCTTCAAAGCATATAATAATAATTTTAACTAATCATGCCCTCCATATAAAAGTTAAAGATTCGTATTTCAAAAGCTAAAATTATGAAAAACCAAAAAAATGAAAACACTAAATTTGTTTCATTCTTTCTTTTCACAAAAATACTAAAATTTCCCTCATTCTTTCTCTTTGCATACATTAGAAAAACTCAATTTTCCCTCCTCTTTCTCTTCTATCAAATTGAAAGAACCAAATCACCCTCTTATTTCCTTCTACAAGAAGTTGAAAAGTCAAAAGTTTTCCTCCTTATTTCTCTTTCATAATCAAAAGAATCAAACTTTCTCTTCCCACATATCAAAACCACCAAAATTCCCACTTGTTTCTTTTTTAAAACATTCAAAGAACCAAATTTCCCTCTTCTTTCTCTTCCCAAAAACTTGAATACACCAAAATTTCCATCTTCTTTTAAAAACATCAAATTACCAAATACATTATTTTACTTTATTTATATTTAATTGATAATTTTATTGAATAGTTAAATTAAAAAAAAATTTAATTTATATATTATATTAATATTGTCATGATCTCAAGTGACCTTCATGTTTCAATTTTTGTAATTTTCTTAAAATACGTAATATCAAGTGAGTTTCATATTTTTTAAATTTCTTATACGAAATGAAAAAATAATTTTACTTAACTTTAGAATGAAAAACTTTATTTTGAAAAACTATGTATTGTATATTTTTATAATTATTCAAGTGGATTAGATGAAATTCGGGTTGTGTCGGTCGAGTTACGGGTTAGTCGGGTTCGGGTCAATCGGGTTCGGGTTAATCGGGTTGCGGGTCAGTCGGGTAGCGGGTCAATCGGGTTCGGGTTAATCGGGTTGCGGGTCAGTCGGGTTGCGGGTTAGTTGGGTTGCGGGTCGGGCGGGTTACGGATTGTTGACTTTTAGTCAATTCGGATTGTGGTCGGGTTGCGGGTCGGGTTGATCGGGCGGGTTAATCGAGTCGGGCTATGTTTTGACACCTATCTGCTAAAGGGTAGGTGGCTCTGTTGTTGTGGAGTCGGATTGCAAGAAGATTATTCATCTGCTAAAGAATGCAAAGATATGCAGAACTGAAGTGGGTAGTGTGTGTGATGAAATTCTGAGAATGGCTGAGGACTTGGATATTAGAGACTAGTTGTTTACTTACAGGGAGGCAAATAGTGTGACTCATCAGTTGGCTCAGTTAACTTCTGTTACAGAGGAGGTGTTGTTTTGGAATAATTGTTATCCTCTTACTAGCACCGGGCCCGGCCCGTTGGCCGGGAGAGTATAATTATTTGTATTTTGTATATGTCGAGTAAATAATAGTACAATAAATAATAATGTGAGCCAAATCTTCTTTCATTTAAAAAGAAAGCATCAAATAATGTGAGTTGTTTGAATTAACAGGGGATGGAGAATAATTCGGTGGCAGCTGTTATGGTTCAGAAAAGAAGGATGCTAAAACACTACCCTAGGCTGAACACACGAAATGATAAAAATCAAATAATAAGAACTGAGTGGCGGGGTATGTCCAACAATAGAGTAGACATACACCCCACCACCAGCATTAATACCACGGTCAACCTTCCCACCTAGAGAAATGAAGCAAAATATAGCATTGTATATACGGATTGCTTCCCGAAAGTGGCGACTCCTTGGTGTTGAAGATTGTAATAATTCCTTCAAGAAATCAGGTGGCTCCCGCCTAGGAGGCAATTTGACCTTCCCTTCTTTGCAACACAAAGGAAACACAGGATTACTGTGGGATCTGGTATGCAGCGTGCTTTCCTGTGGCCACATAAGTGCAGAACAATATTGACAAAGACTTGAAGGCTGGCCAAGAGTAAAAACTTCGACAACAGGAAAGCCTACCAAAAAAAAACGAAAACATACATTACACAATGCCAAAACCTTGCATTACTGATGTAGGAATGATAGTAACAATGCGGAAACAAACCATGAGTTCGGCAAAACCCTCTAGGAACAGCATCAACCCTCCGTCTTCGACACAAAGCAATTGACCGCATAAGCCGCGCTCGTTTTGATCGTAAACGTGAGAATGAAACAGTAAAATCTGGAAGAGTATACCTCAACAGTCAATCCACCATCAAGTAATAACCAAACATATTTTAGGAGTTATGATATGACACCCATCAGAATGCAAGAAGGTACCCTTAATTAAATGGGGTTTTCCAAAAATCAGAGTTTGTGATTAGTAAAATATTTAGTGCACTGGATAGTAAACAATTAATGGTGGAGTTACGTAGTGAAACATGATGGACACATCAGTAGGAAATCATGTACCCTTAATAAAATGGGTTTGTCACAAAATTAAAGTTTGTGGCCAGTAGATTAGTTAGTGGACTGAATAGGTAAAAAAAATTACCCAGTGAATTGTGTGCAACTATCCGCCCAGAGTGACTACCCAAGATAATACGGCGGTGTTTGCGGTGCAATTGAGCTATCAACCGATTAATATGTTGAACTTGGGTGTTGAAAGAAATAATCTCTGCATAAACGTCATATCAATGTTTTAGAAATTACGAAACAGAAAAAACAAAACGGAGTGCTAAATTAATACAGTTCAGCCAGTGTTCGGTGGGTACGTTGATTAAGCCGCTCCCGTTCAGAATCAGTTTGTCTTTTGGACGGAGGTCTCGGTGGGTTAAAGATTGCTCGCATCAGCCGCCCTGATAATAAAGAGAAGAGGTCAAACATATGTAGGCAATCAAGGTTAAAAACATATATAGGCAGCCAAGGTTAAACTTGTGTATTATACCTAATTAAAGAAACAATTGATGAAATACTGTCAAAAACACATAATTGGTGACAGAATACATAAATGTCTTGAGTGATGAACAGGCCTCCCAATCAATCCTTGCATGGCATGAGCATCTCTATCTTGATTGGGCTCCATTGAAGTCAATCCTGGAGACATATGAGATAAAGGGTGGTTTGGAATAAAATAATTGAAGTCCAAGGAATATGGCTAAATCAAGAACCGCTGCCCAAAAGATTCCCCATTACCTGGATTTAGCCGGACCTTGTTCCTTGGCGTTTGGTCGATCAGAACAACTCTTCGTTTGGGTGATCAGGAACATCTCTTCGTTTGGTCGACATTAATGGAAGTACGATGGCAAATTCCGAAGAAAAGGGATGAGTGCGCTGGGTTGGGGATAAGCCTGGGCCACATTAAGTTATTGGGCCATATCAGGCCGCTATATTGCAACAGAAGAGGAGGCCTGGCCCAGATGTTGGTCGGTGAAGATGCTGGGCGGAGGAGGTTGCAAAAAGCACAACCTCATTTAAGTGCATGACAATTACAAAAAAGACCCTCCGTCACGTGCTCTAAGGGCTGGGGCGCTGGGCATAACAGTGGGTCGCATTCAGTTTTTGGCCCATATCAGGCCCCTATTTTCTAACAGAAGAGGAGGCCTGGCCCAGATGTTGGTTGGTGAAGTTGCTGGGCGGAGGAAGGTGCAAAACGCACATCCTCATTTAAGGCCATGGAAATTACCAAAATGCCCCTCCGTGAAGTGCTCTAAGGGCTGGAAATTCAAAATGCTGCAATCCCAACCCATGAATCTCCTTTATATCTTTTGTAGATGATTGCTGATGTTGTAGCCCTTGAGGCATCGTTTTCTTTATTTAATGAAATCCCATCAGTTTTCCCTAAAAAAAGTGCACATTTCCACGATCAAGTTATAAAGAGAGGGTTATCATATTATAAAGATAGAGAAAATTTTGCTAAAATCGAATTACTTTTTTTTAAGAGTGATGAAGGTTTGTGTATATCTATAATTTTTTTTGTGTGTTTGATAAAATTAGTGTTTTGTCACAAGAAGATGAGTATGCAAGATTTTCTGAATGACGATTGTCAATGGTTCAAAGATTAGAATCTGGGAGGATAGATAGCTTCCTGAATTACCAAATGCTTTTGTTCACTCCCTCCCTCTAGGATTGTAAGTAGATGCAATAGTGAGTGAATTATTCTCGCCTGACTCTGACGAGTGGGGTGATACGATAGTGGAAGCTTGTTTCCTGTCGAAGATTGTTGACCGAATAAAACAAATTCCCTTGTGAAGCAATGGAGTAACCGTAAGCAAATCTGGATGGGTACCAACTCAGGAGAGTACACGGTTAACGATAAATACAAAGTTTGGAGGTGGAGATGGCCGAGCATTAGCAGCAAAGTTTGGGCTGTAAGCCTGTAACTAGCTCGACAATTCCAAGCCACGAAACCGATTCTAAAGACTGATTGCTCACGTTCAGTCAGAAGCTGGCAATAGCGGAAAGGATTTAGACAGAGATCACTACTGTATGCAGACGCATTCTATGTTATCTGAACGAGATGGCCAATGGATCTGGGAGATTTAGTCCTCGGAAGGCAATACAATACAATACAATAGCACAATGGCACACTCAGAGATTTGATGGAATGAACATGTTGTTTGGCTAGATAGATCGCCATTTTCCTTGTTGACTAGATTATGTAGGATAATGTAGCTGCAAACTATGTTTATTGAAATATTAACATATTTTGATATAAAAAAAAAATATTTGTCTTTGGTGTCCTATTTTCTACCAGATTATACAAAGATTTGTTTTACTTTATTTCTATTCATTCAAGGTGACGTATTGTAAAATTAATTTTTTTTTTTGAAAAAAGAGTCATTATGATAGTCACTAATTATAAAACGTATCAAACGAAAATGAGAAATTCCATTTTAACTAATGCCAATTGTCATATCATTCACCAATATAAAGTATAAACTGCTGAACTTGATAGTGGATTGTTAATTGGGATAAATCATAAATTCCAATAAATTCAAGTACCTGTATTATACTATTTTAAAAGTTGCCGCTTTTTTTATAAATAACAATTGCAATAAAACAAAATGACAATATATGCGTTTTCAAATGTGATTTAGTTCTCCAATGTTTTTTGTTAAACAAAAGATGGTAATTTGTCAACTCGTTTCCACCTTAGGAAAAGATCGAACCACTAACTATTCGAGTTTCTGAATTATATGTACATTAAAAAATGTTGAATTGGAACCATGCCACTCAGTAATTGTTTAATGAGTGGGGAGATTTGCACTGAAGGCCACATTACGTCATCAATATTAACCGTCTCGAAAAGGGTTGAAATTAGGGCTGACCGTCTGTTAGTTTCGGTTATAACCAGTAATCGATCGGTCGATTATTGGTTAACCAAACTGATGGCCCCCTTACTGACAAGCAACCGACCAAAATAGGCCTTTAGGCTTCGGTTATCTCGATTTTCGGTTAACCGAACTGCCTCCAAAACCATCTCGACCAGACTCCAAACACTAACCAAATTTTGGTTATCTCGATTTTTGGTTAGTGGATAACCGACCGATCATCGATTTAATCGACCCCGAAACTCCACCAACCCCTAATCGGAATACTGATCCCTCGACAGGAACCCTTATTCTGGACATATCATCAATGGTCATTCTGATTTCTGAGGACAAGGAATTTTGTAGATTAAATTTGACATCATTATAGAGGCCAAAAAAATAAGATAATTACAGATGCGAATTAGTTCTTGGCTGGTAGCGGCCTAACACTTTCATACTGACGTCATCAGAATCAGATACGCCGCCCCTCCCTTCCACTGGGCCGGCCTCGGGTTGCTGCCTAGAGGCCCAACGTGTTTAAACTTTGGGCTCTTATCTTGGTAACAATTTGACCCGATCACCGGCCTATCTCGCATTAGACCGTAGGTTTTCTTGTAGGCCCAAAGTTTAAGCCCAAAGTGAAAAAGACTGCAAAACAGATTATAAATCCGAAACAGAACGCAGCTAGGTTTTTCTTCTCTCTGCTCCAAGGCGATAAAGCAAGACTGTGCGACTTCGAGATTGTAGCTCTTCCGCTGGTACAGCGTCCGATTGCCGACGATCTGCTCTCACCTGCGGCTTTACAATGGTTCATACTTCTTCTCCCTTTCTTATGTAGCCATTCAGTTCGATTCCATTTGCGTGTATTTTTCCGGTTGTATACTAAATGCATTCTGATCGGGGTTTCGGTTTGCCAGATCATCTCCGAGAAGAATCGCCGCGAGATCTCCAAGTACCTTTTCCAGGGTTCGGCACTCCTCCGTCGTCTCTCTCAGTTTCCTTCTTTTTTGCTTTCGGATTTGTTTTTTATTTATTTTCTGAATGGGTTGTCGATTTTTTCAGAGGGAGTCTGCTTTGCGAAGAAGGATTTCAATCTGGCGAAGCATCCAGACATCGACGTCCCAAATCTGCAGGTGATAAAGCTTATGCAGAGCTTCAAATCCAAGGAGTATGTCCGTGAGACTTTCGCCTGGATGCATTATTACTGGTACCTCACCAATGAAGGCATCGAGTTTTTGCGAACATATCTCAACCTGCCTTCGGAGATCGTCCCTGCTACCTTGAAGAAGCAGGCTAGGCCTGCCGGCAGACCCTTTGGCGGCCCACCTGGTGACCGCCCACGGTAATGATCATCTTCTTGTCTTGCTGTTTTGTTTACAATTTGGGCGTATTTGATTTTTTGGACTATGGTTAATCATAGGTGATTTAATTGTGGGAGTTGACTGTTATGCAATGTGGTAATTGTTTGGTACTCTTTTTTTGCGAATTTTAGTGGCCCGGGACGTTTTGATGGGGAGAGGAGGTTCGGTGGTGATAGGGATGGTTATCGTGCTGGCCCAAGGGCTCCTGGTGGCGATTTTGGCGACAAGGGCGGAGCTCCAGCGGACTACAAACCTACCTATGGGGTGAGTATTAGTAGTTCTGTTCTCAAATTATGAATTTGCCTTTACTTTCCCAATGTAGTTTTACTGCTGGAATGTTGCCTGATGCAATGAGAATTGAATTCACTGTTTAGTTGGATTATTACTATGTTGGTCTTATTGTGCTGGTTTGTAGATCAAGGCGTCCAATTATTTTCTGGTTTTCATAGTTTCCAGCTTTGTGTATCAACTATGGCTCGATGAGTTCATAAACTTTTCAGTCTCCCTCTGTAGATTTGGGGTTTTCCTCTGAGAACAGAACTCTATTAGGAGTGTTTAGTTGGATTATTACCAAGTTGGTCTTGGTGTGGTGTTTCTGGATCAAGGCGTCTGATTAGTTTCTTTTTGATCTTAGTCTCTCACAATGGCTTTTGGTTTTTCATTTGAGAATCGAACTCTCTTAGGAGTATTGTCTTAGCTATTAATGTCACAGCTTCAGTTTGGATAACCTGATTCCCTTGTGAAATCAGTTGTTTCTTAAACTTTATTCGCAACCTGTTTTTGCTTGAATTGGTTTTCGGTGGCTGAATCCCTCTACTCTCTCAATTTTCAGGGCGGCTCTTCTGGTCCAAGGACAGGATTTGGTCGTGGTGCTGGAGGCTATGGTGGTGGTGCTGGTGCTAGTTCAAATCTTCCTTGAAGTAATTTTTCTTGAGAGACAGACAGGTTTTGTTTCAGAGTTGCCGATATGTGATGGAATGCGTATTTTTTTGTTTCAATTTTCAGAGGCTATTCCTGCGTAGTTGGTAGTCCTAGATTCAGGATATATGCAGAATGTTTGTGGCAATCAAAGTTCATGATGATCGTTTGCTTATAATTGATGAAGGTTCAACATGACACCCCTTCTCTTTCTTTGTTATAGTAAAATCCTCTGTTTCCAGAACCGGACCGGAGGTTGAACCGTAAAATTAGTGATTTAGGGTTCACCGATTAATCGTTGGTGAACCGTTGATAGAACCGTTAATGATATATAACATATAAGACTTGTATATTATACTAATTTAAGAATGAAATTATCATTGACCATAAACAAGTTCAAATTCATATCATCACGAAAATATCTAATAAATCATTCCAACCATCTCACAAAAGAAACTACCTTTTTTAATTCAAATTAAAAATTACTGTTCTAGTTGGTAGTAGACAATGTAAAATCGACAATAAGGTTGAGGAAGCATATATAAAATTAATAATTATGATTTGATTGTCTTAGTTTATGTTAAAATATTCTTTTTTATTAAAATAGTGAACCAGTTGACCAGTTAAACTGTGCCGGTTCATCTGATTTTATGTTGAACCGTGAAAAACCGTTTGGTCCATCAATAACCGTTCAAACAATGAACCAGATCGTTATCGTAACTGGTTTGACGGTTCTACTGGCCCGGCCGTTGATCTGGTTTGGTTCTTATAACAAGGGTAAAATCTTGTTGAAAAGTTCTTCTATGTAGGAGAGGGCACGTGGGTGGTTAATCTGCGGATTGATATCGATCCAACTGCAAATAACCCTACCCGCACACAGTGGGTGATTGATGTGGGTGGATTGCGGATTGTTAAATCTCCTACCCGCACTTATGTGGGTGGATTGCGGGTCACCCGTATGATCCGCGTCCTATTTTTACATGAAAAAATGTTGTTTTTTATAGTATCGAATATTCATCATATTTTCTAACTGCACTACTATAAGTCTGATCATATACTTCAAAAGGTGGAGAATAAAGAATAGTCAGGTGGTAAAATCACCGTGACGACTTTATTAATGATGACTTTATTATGATCTGGTTGTCTAACCTACCTGCTGAAGCCACTTACACCCTATAGTGATAGTGAGGATGAGCAGAGGATAGGAGACTATGCCACTTACCCAAATTTGGTCTGCTTGGCTGGATGGTAGGCAAGCTCTCTATCGTGAGGTAGAGGATTAGCTCCTTTCTTTTACGGTAGGGTTTGCTGAGCTCAAGCGTAAGGCGGACTGGTTGGTTGAGTCAGGCCACACTTATACAGTTGCCGCTACATCAAAGCATCAATCCCTCTCCCTCTATTGTCTTCTTTGCTCGTCGTGTAGACATGTTGAAGCAGGCCTGTACGGTGAATTGCAATCCAAACTAACTCTGTGTAGAGCCCAGTAAGAACGTACCTTAAAGTTACAAGCCCAGATCTGGAGAAAACCCCAGGTCATTCAATTTCCTAACAATTTCAAGCCCAAATCCATGATCAGCAGCTATCTACAGTTCGAATTCTTCGCCACGTTGACGTCAACTATGGTGCTGACTGTTGAGAGTTGAGAGTAGCCAATCAGACGGCTACGCGGTTATTTAAAAAGCAGTAACCTTTTTATGGAAAATTCAAAATGTTTTTCTCTGGAAGAAATTGGAAAGGGTTGGTGTTGGTTTCATCTTCATCTTCATCTTCATTTCACGGGTATTCACCCACTCGCTGAAAGTTAAAAAAGAAGAAGAAAAGAGCTGCAAGCAAGATACGAAAGCTTCCGCATCTTTAATTGCGGAGGTTGGCCAGTAGACGAGTGTCGAGTCTTAGAGCCTCTCTCTCTCTCTCTCTCTCTCTCTGTGCGGTCCAGCCAAATCCTCTGCTCCTGTTTAGGTCTGCGACGAAAGAAACCCCGGAGTGGAGAAAGCTGCTGAAGGGGGAAAGTATGGTCTCCAGTGGGAGTAAAGACTCGAGCTCCTCTACGGCTGCCAAGGACGGAGGCGGAAGCGGCGGTAAGATAAAGGGAGTTCCGACTCACGGCGGCCGTTACGTGCAGTATAATGTCCATGGGAACTTGTTTGAAGTTTCCAGTAAGTACGTTCCTCCCATTCGGCCCATCGGCCGTGGCGCTTATGGCATTGTCTGGTAAACTTTCTCTCTCTGTTCTTTCCCGTTTCTGGGTTTTATTGCTTTGAGTTTGTTGATCGTTTCTTTGTTTTGATCGATGTTTCTACTTCTGGGTGCCTAAGCTTCCGTTCATCGAGAAGCCAAACTTTGCTGTTTTTATAGGATTGAGGATATGCTTTTGTTCGTTGATTCATGATGTGTAATGGTTCATTTGTTTGGATTAGCTCCCCCCTCTGGGCTACTTATGCTGATGAATTCGCATGCAAAAGTGGCTCTCTAGTAACTGCCGGGTTCAGAAATGGTATCTGAATCAACTAGAACTGGTGTCATCTAGAGTATATCCTGGTTCTGTTTAGTATTTGCGGTCTCCTAATTGCAGTGGAATTTATTCTTCATATTGGCATTTGCTGACTAGAAGCCATGAATTCCCAGGAATAGAATAATGAATACTGATTGAAGATTATGACTATTTTATGTGTAGAATATAAGAAGTGGACTAGAAAATTCATCGTGGTTTCTCAAATGCTTCATTTCAACACTGCATTTTGGGTGGGGGCAAATGGAATGGTTGAAGAGTCAAACCGTGCATCATGTGTTCACACGGCCTTGCTTAAGAATATGTTTTGTTGGATGGCTCTTTGGATGTGATTACTGCAATCCTTTTCTTATATAATGTGCTAGTCTCAACTGTCTTCTTTCTTTCGTTTTTTCGTCTCTGATTATGCAAGGAATCCTGTGGTATGGTATAGTGCTTTGTCTAATAAACATTGATGGTACCTTTGTTCAGTGCCGCGGTGAACTCCGAGACACAAGAGGAGGTTGCAATAAAAAAGATTGGGAATGCATTTGACAACAGAATCGATGCAAAAAGGACGTTGAGAGAGATTAAGCTTCTACGCCATATGGACCATGATAATGTAATTCGTAGTAGACCTTTAGTTGTTTTTCTTTTCAATTCACTATTTATTTAAGCTTGGAAGTGCATGATACAGTAATATGATCTTAGGTTTACCGTCGTATAAGCAATTGCTCGTTTCTTTCACTAGACTTGGAGCTAAGATTAGTTATCTATTCATTTCCTTTGAAGGTAATTGCTATCAGGGACATTATCCGACCACCGAAGAAGGAAGCATTCAATGATGTCTACATCGTTTATGAATTGATGGATACTGACCTCCATCAGATTATTCGTTCTGGACAAGCATTGACTGATGATCACTGCCAGGTTAGTTGCCAAGAATTATGGTTGTGATTTTGTACCATATTACATGTTTTTTCAAGTCTGGAAGCTTGCTGGATGGCTTATTGATGGTTTCCTGTAGCTTGGTACCCCGATCATAGCATTCAGGATGAGAAACTCAAAGATCCTATGTGTGCATTTTGATATTGACGATTGTAACTTCAGAATATCCAATTAATTGAAATGCTGAACTGCTAGATGTGGTCTTTGGAGGTAGAATGTTGGATGACAATTCCATTTCGAAGGTTCAGTTTAAATAGGAAAACTAATAGCTCTTAATTGATCCTTTTTCACAGTACTTCTTGTATCAACTGCTGCGAGGTTTGAGATATGTGCATTCAGCCAATGTCCTGCATCGAGATCTTAAGCCCAGCAATTTGCTCCTGAATGCAAATTGTGACCTTAAAATTGGAGATTTTGGGCTGGCAAGAACAACTTCAGAGACAGATTTTATGACCGAGTATGTCGTCACTCGTTGGTATCGAGCACCAGAATTGCTTCTTAATTGTTCAGAGTACACTGCTGCAATAGATATTTGGTCTGTTGGTTGCATCCTTGGTGAAATTATGACACAGGAGCCCCTATTTCCTGGAAAGGATTATGTTCATCAACTGAGGCTTATCACAGAGGTATGGCTTTCCAGGACTCTTTTCAGTTATATTCCTTCATATGTTTGTTTCCCTTGTGGATTATCCCTACCTTCGACTCTAGCTTAAAGCTTATGCATAGGTGTTTGGCTTCTGATTAACCTGGTTAATATTTAAGGGAACGAATGGTGCAAGATTCATATTCGGGCCTCTCCCAACAACCCAAGTTTGGGAAGAGTTGTGTCTCGACAGCTTACGGGTCCCATGGCGAGAGCTTGCATCATTTGTACTACTAGAAATGAAGAACATTAGTTATCTTTAATTGTTTCAGATGTTATCAAAGAACCTATTTTGCGGACCAAGTCTTAATCGTTGACAAGCCTCCCTTGATATGTTGGAATCATCATCCTTATGAAGTTAAGGAACATGATTGATCCATCACCGAGTTCTTGTTTGCGACTTCTTACATATGTTTTTTTCTCTTTAAAAAAGCTAATAGGTTCGCCAGATGATGCTAGCCTTGGTTTCCTTAGAAGTGACAATGCAAGAAGATATGTTAGACAGCTTCCACAGTTCAGAAAACAGAACTTCTCCATGAGGTTTCCCACTATGTCTTCTGGTGCCGTCGATCTGCTAGAAAAGATGCTTGTATTTGATCCCAACAAACGCATTACAGGTATATGGAATTGAATATGAAGCAGCTTTATGAACCAGTTTCTAGTATTTTATTTATATATGTGTGTGCTTCTGTAATTGCAGTTGATGATGCACTTTGCCACCCGTACTTGTCACCCCTCCATGATATCAACGATGAACCAATCTGCACTGCACCATTCCACTTCGATTTTGAGCACCCTTCATGCACCGAAGAACATATTAAGGAGCTCATATGGAGGGAGTCAGTGAAGTTCAATCCAGATACCCAACACTAGAAGAAGAAGAAGAAGAATGTGCTGTTGAAGAGGTGAAATGTTGAGAAACGAGAAAAGACCTCCCCGGAAATATATCGGCCTGATATGATCATCACATCCTGAGCTTTGCAACTCTGGAAAAGTGGACATCATCATTAGATGGAGAATTGGCACAATATTCAAGAAGCCCAATAGGGCTATAGCAGAATTAGCTGTTTGAGAGACAAGTTTGCTCAAGTAAACCAACATTAAGAAACATGACATGATATTGTATAAAAGTTTGTGCAGATCCTTTTCATGTGTACAAGTTTGGAGCACAGTTCCAAGTACGTGAGCTAACAGCAATGATAGTTGCTTATAGCAAAATAATCCAAGAGTCTAATACCTTAAGCTTATATGCTATCCGAATAAAGTTGTCATGTGATAATAATTTGGAACTTCTTAGATTGTTTGATTTGAACAGGTGACAGTCTTGTATACATTCCTGATCAGGTTTAGAGAAGAAAATTTGTGGATCAAAATGAACTCGAAAGTGCTTTTGTTTATTCTTTTCAGGGGGCTCATTAAATCGAAACCAAAGTTGCAGACCCTCTAACAGGTATAGCACTTTCAGTTCATATGTTCAGTTTCTGCAGGATCAAATGGGTTGGTGGTAAAGAAGAACCAATTTGATCCCCCAACCCATGTTGTTTTCATAAATTAGGTTTCATCTTTCATCTTATTTACATTCATTACATGTTAGCCCACTTTATAGTTGTACAGGATTTAGTACAGTTCTTTTGACTTCACATTCCTTGTTTCCTGTAGGTTTGATTTTGAAAGCCTTCAATTACTTGGAAAGTTGTAGAAAAGCATAGACTTGACTGCAGCCAAACTTCATTGCTTGTGTCACAAGTATCTCTTACTGTAAGAGCAAGCATGAGCTTCCACTTCCTCGATTGCCAGCGTGTCATCCGGGAAATTGCAAGATGTCTGCTTTGCCCCCTGATCAGGCAACAAATCACACGCCTTAGGTGTCACAGAACTCGTCACCCCTGAAATATCTGTACAGTTCCACTGCAGCTTCTTGGCCTTCTCCACGAGCCCGATGGTCACGTTCGATATGCAGATTCCGGTGAAAGGATCGCCCCCGATCCCTTCCAACTTGGCCGCCATCGACACGTTCTCCGCGACCATGTCGCGGTAGTTGATGTTCTCGACGACAGGGATGGCATTGGGATCGTAGTTGTTGTCAGGGTGGGAACCGTAGTTCCCTGTCATCCAGAATGCCCACTTCATCGTCTTCATGGTAAATCTCCTCACGTATATGTCCTTCACGTAGCCTCCACGGCCGACGGCGGTCTTGATCCTGACTCCGGACTCCGTGTTGATCGCCGTGATGTCCTCTGCCCTCACATCCTCAATCCCGCCAGACATTTCGCTCCCTAATGCGATGGTCGCGCTGAAGGGGGAGATGCAGGTCAGCCTCCGTATGACTAGATGCTTCGTAGGCATTCCATAAGCGATTCCATACTCGTCCCATCCACTCTTCACTGCGACGCAGTCGTCGCCGGAGACGATGAAGCAGTCTTCTATCCTGGTGTTGGTGCAAGAATCTGGAGAAAAGGGAAAACAACCCAAAAGAATGTAAGGACAATCCAACGGTGTCAGCTTCTTTTAAGGGTGATTGGTGGGTTGTTGTTACCTGGGTTGATTCCATCAGTATTTGCAGAGGTGACGGGAGCCAGAATCGTCAAGCCTTTGACGAGAGTATTGGTGCAGTAAACGGGATGTACGTTCCACGACGGAGAATTGAGCAGTGTGAGATTTGAGATCTGGATCTCGCTAGAGTACATGAGTTCGATCAAGTAAGGTCTGGTGTAGTTGAGCTGGCCTGCGCGGTATTTCTTCCACCACAGTTCTCCTTGGCCATCAAGAGTCCCATTGGCACCTGAAAACAAAGACCATAAAACAGTTCAATCGTTTCAGTGATTCGACAGAAACCCACTTGTTGAAAGTCTGAAATATGAGATTGAACAGCCTTTTGTTGGTATATACCTGTGATTACAACATCGGTAAGGTTTGTGCCGAAGATTAGACTGCTGTACCTTCCGCCATCAGCATCCCTTCCTCTGCCGTAAGATGGCAATGGCTCAATCACTGGCCATTCGTTTTCATCCTAAACCCAAAACACACCACATTCCATTAGCCACATTTAGTCCAGTAAACTGTCTAGTTTGTGAAAACTGTTCCACATATATACAGGCACACAATTTCCACAAATTCGAAGTTTCTGCCGAGCAACTTCAATCGTGCTATTATGCTAACAAGGGCGCTATATCGTGCTCACATTTCAAGCCGATGAATGTCTCGGGGTCTTTTTAGGCAATGGATCAGACATTCAATGGCTGGAAATTTGCAGGAGAGGTCAACAAGTGGTTAACATAATTACCAAATACCTCAACTTAAAGCCGGACATCAAATGATCAAAAAACCTAAGGCTGGTCCTAGACTCCTGTTGCCAAATTAGTGGCTATGGCACCACAAACATTAAAACATATGGTGAAGCCTTTTTTAGGGTTAGTTGCTGAAAAATCCCTCTCCTGGTCCTACTGTAGAACAGAACCTTGAAGGAAAAGCATACAATCAGAAAAATTGCAAAATTGGTATCAACCCATTTTCCCTTTACTCCACTGAATGCCTAATCTTTCAGAGAGAAACTAACAAAAAGTAAAAAAAAGATAGCAACTTTGAGGGGTTTTCTTTTGTTCCAATTACCTGGGCAGCAAGAAGAACCGCATCCTGGTCAAGATAGAGAGTGAAATGGCTGCTGGTGATGTTGAAACTGGAAGTCAGCCATCTCCCTGGAGGGACATAGAGCAAAGACCCTCCTTCTGCAGAGTACTTGGCCAGAGAATCCATTGCAGCCTGGAAAGCCTTGGTGTTTGAAGTGTTACCATCTCCAACGCCTCCGAAATCTGTAATGGAGGCTACATTAGCCCTGCAATCTCTCCCTGTGAACTCATAGGAGTCGAGCTTCAAAGATTTCTTTCTGGCCTCAACTGATGATGATGACCTCCCCCCTGCAATTACCAGCGCCAGGAGACATACCCAAACCGCTGCTGTAACTTCCATTGTTGGCCTGTTAAAGCCCAACCCACAAAAATGGAATTCTTAAAATGAGGAGAAAGAAGAGGAACCCAGATCGTGTCTTGAAGGAAATTGAATTAGAATTTAACAAGTTCTTTACCTGACTGACAAATGGTGGGATCTGGTAAAGAAAACTTCTCTGGTTTCTTTGTTTGTGGGGGGAATGTATGATTAATTTATATAGTCAGGGGAAAATGTGGCGTGACATCATTGTCCACGTGTTGCAGTTTTTGCTTCTTTTTGTTTTACTTTAAAGAAATTATCTACTAGACATCCCATAAGAGCTAACTGTTACAATTTTTAGTGAAATTAATTGTTTCGTCCCCCCATTTAAAAAAAGTTCATTATTACATCTTTCTTTTGACAAATTATTATCACGTCTCTCATGTGATTTTCATTAATTAAGCTCTTGTGGTAATTTACGGAGAAGAAAGCAATACTCTAATTATGTTGGAAACATATTTTGTTTTTGTTTGATGGGAAAACGTTGTTACCAATTCAACGGGAAAAAAACGTTGTTACCAACATAAGTAAGTTTCGAAATCAGTTGAATTAGAAAAAAAAAAATTATAAAATGGTTAAAATAAATATAGTACTAGTGAGCTAAGTCATGGTACTAATGAAGTCTAAATAATAACCTCATTTCGGCTTAGTGTACATCAGGGAATATATTCAACTATATATCAATCAAATTAGGTTTGTTTTGTTGGTTGAAGTAGAAGTGGGTTGCTTTACCAGGAGGAAGATTAATTGGGTGGTTAAGACTCTATTCAACAAAGAGCCCTTAACTGAGTTTGGAACCCAGTATACAAACAAACAAATATCTTTTCCACGTTAATTACTTAAATGGTTAATGGACTTAAAGACATTTAAATTTCATTAACTAAGTTTAGTGGATATACTTATGGTTATTGGTTTGTGAGCATTTAGACCAAAACCGAACTTACAAAAGATAGTCCATTAGCACACTATTAGGATTTGCATGATCTCTAAAAATATGCAAATCAATCTGGCGCATACCCACGGGGAAATCCGTGATCAACTTTGATTGTGGTATGCCAAGTCAAAACTCCACCCATGATCCCCATCTTAAATGAAAAGTTAAGCACATGATCTTGAAAGATGCACATGGTTAGAAACTGATAATGAAACGTGGGTGGAAAACCAGAAGATTTTTTTAGCATTGGCCGGCCGCGCGAAAGCAAGGATAACAGTTTAGTTTGGTGTCTTTGAATCACATAGTAGATTCTTCATTTCTTTGTAATTTCTTACTATATTTATCGTGTGTTTTATACTTGAACATGGAGAGAGAAAAAAAAGAGTATGGTAGCCTCTATGAAACTGGATTAAAACCAATACGATTACAGACGGTTAAACTAAAACCATGCCTACATTTCAATAAATCCAAGTATGGTTGCCTTTGTTTGCTTTGTACGAAACGTAATCTAATTTTGTGGAGACGTGGGAGAAGAGGCAATGGCCTACGTTTTTGGAAGCGGAATTTCAGTCGGAGGAGGCCAATGGCCACTAGTGATGGCAATGGGGAGGGGCGGGGCGGGTACTTCAATTCTCATGCCCCGCCCCATGCTACTACGAGTCGGGGCGGGTAAAATTCGCGCGGGTACGGGGCGGGGCGGGTCGACCCACCCTTACATGTTGCTAAAAAAATACAAGTAAATTTTACTTTTTACAATAAAACGTAGGGAAAAACACTTTAAGAATGAAAAATATTGATAATAGAATGGATAATTGAGCCTAACAAGTTGAAAGATCGACTCTAACTAGTTGAATAAAAGTCAAAGTAGGAGAAATATGTATAGATATTGTAATAAATCGAGATAAACCGGGCGAGTCGGAAGTAGATACTATTGCCCCGCCCACGCTACTGCGAGTCGGGTAATACCCACTCCATCGAAGGTCGGATCGGGTAATACCAATGAGGCGGGTTGAAATTGCCATCACTAATGGCCACAATACAATGGGCCGAATGAATTCTTGGACCAAAGTCTTTGGTGGTGCGCTGCCTGCCCATCATGTGCTATTTCGGTCCCTACTTTAATTGTGGCCGGCACAATTTGGGCAACCCGTGACCGTTTCTTGTTGCTATTCGCACTCGTGAGCTTGGCGCTTTTTTTAACGGTTCGTCGCTGTCTTTTCCAAATTCCACCACCACTAATTTTTATTTGAATTATTATGGGTAATGTACAAACAATATCAAATGCCACTAACAACCATAATAATATTATTACATTAGACATTTATAATATATGGGTTTGAGATACTAGCTTAGAAGTCATGTATGCATACATACTTGTAAAGGAGCGGAAGAAGACGCTTTTTCTTTTCTGTCAAGACTGTAAATAACCAAAATGTGAAGGGATAGGAATCACGAAGGCCAGCCTTATTCTCCTATATGCATCACTTCTTTTATGTCTTTTCTGTTTTGTGATATTGACTTGGCTTGTGCTTGTGGATGTCATTGCAGAAGTGAATGTGCAATTTGTAAGGTGATATCAAGGTTGTAATTTGATAAGGTGAACAGGTGTTGGAAATGAATAGTTTTGAAAGGTATAGAGTCTCAAGGTAGAAAAATTACTACATTGGTAGTTTTATTTGGCGAAATGTGTATAAAGATAGTAGCCTCTCTCCTAAGGGCATGCATTTTGGGGTGACCCACTTTTGTGGGAGAGGGAGGACCTAACAGACCACCACACGCGCGCGTGCCGTTCAACCGACCGGTTGGTCGGTTCACTTGAGACTATATATTTTTGGAGAAATTCCTAACAAAATTAATTATTAGATAATTAATTATTAATCGGTTATTCGAAGGATAATCCCGCCAGGAATTATCTTACAGACGAGTTTTAATTAAGGAAGTAATTATCTTCCTTAATTAATCCGACTTCTTCCTCAAGCAAGAAGGTTATTTTCCTTGGGGTTCGACTCCTATAAATAGCCGTCTCCCCATCCCTCTAAACACACCACAATACGAGCATAAACACAATAGAGAGAGTGTTCAGAGAACTCGGGTTTTTTTGCACAAGACCGCGAGTATAGAGAAGAGTTGTTTAATCCTGGAGACGACTGATTGATAGTTTGTCGTGTGCATCGAGGGCAGTGCCGCGAACGTCTTAAAGAAAGCGACCTAATCCGTGACTCAGCTCCAAATTCGATAACCTCGTTCTATTTGTTGGTTCGTTCCTAACACAGGGTGGTGGATCGATTTTGGAGGAGATTGGGGGATTGTGTACGGAATTTCCTACGTTTGGGGTTTGGTTTGTGGGTAAGGATTGCAATAGGATAGTCCATTTATTGACTATTAAGAAGATCCTCTCAAAACCAAAAATTGGCCAAGTCCAGAGAATGACAGTGGGCCTGGACAAGCATTCGAGTCATAAGTACTGGGTATAGGTAGGGATGGCAAAAATATCCGTAACCGTGGATATCCACCCGAATCCGACCTAATTGGGTAGGATAAAACACGAACCCGAAGCATTTTTCGTGGGTACGGGTAAAACCCGAACCCGAATGTTGCGGGTAATGGGTGGGCATGGTTATCTCACTATCCAACCCGAACCCGCCCAATTATACATATGCATATGTATTTTGTCTAGAAATAATCATTATTTTTCTCTAGAATATTTTATATTTAGCATATAAATATAATATATTCATGAAATTATGTTGTTTTAATTAATTTTCGTCATTCTAGTGAATTATTGTCGTATTTTTCCTCTTACATAATGTGAGTATACGTGTGAATGTTAACATATTGGTTGGAATTATAAGGAGAAATTATTACCCATGGATAACCGTGGATACCCGAAACCCGAACGGGTATAGGCATGGTTTTGATTTTCTACCCGTTTCCCGTATGGGTACGAGTATGGGTAAAACCCGAACTACATTGGGTAGGGTAACGGATATGCACTATCCGCCCCCACCCTACCCATTGCCATCCCTAGGTATAGACCCATTGGAGAGCTTTTAAGCTTCGGCTCAGGGAGCCAGGCCCGTAAGTCTGTTATTAGAAATGAGAGGTTATTATGGGCCTTTGGATGAGTTTGGTTGTCACTGCGGACTTCAGGGATTAGACAAAGTGACCAATTGCCGTTCCTGTCTACATCCATGTCATGTTCGACCATAAATAAGTAAATAACCAGAAATCTAGATCCAATGAAGTTACTTTTTTTTTTTTTTCATAGGAGAATATGAATGGTAGTGTTTCAGTTGGCAAAAAGGTAAAATTTTAGATGTAAATAGATTGTAATTAGTAGATTGTGTGGCAGTGTCGTAATAAAAAGTGCAGGGTTTCAGTTTAGACTTTCGGCCTTTATTTCAATGAGCCTAATCATTAGTTGTTCCCTACTAGTGAAGAGTATACCAGAATCCACTAAAACTTGTTAATGATATCCGAGTCGATAGAGTTTAAATGCAACAAATTTTTTTAATATCTAACAGGTCGTGGCGGACCCAGCATTCTCGTATAGGTGTGTCAGTCGATAAAATAATAAATAAAATTTAATTATAGTTTACTGTGAAGCACAACGAGAAGTGGGATCAAAAGAGGTAAAGGGAACACTAGGGTTTTTTTATAAGATAGTAGTCCATATGCAACCGGACTCCCGACGAAAGAACATTCTTGTCACTAGGTGGACGACTATGTGAAAGCTACAAGAATCAAGAAGAAACAAAACTTATTCGGATAGAGAGAAAATTGGGAAAACTTCCTTACGATTACCCTGCCTAAGGCCTAAGAGCAATAGACCATTGTGTCTAAACGATAAAGCAATAGAAACAACCCCAAATTTGTCATAAGAAAACTAAAATTTAAAATAAATTATATATATATTTACGTATTTTGAGAACTTTATGACACCAATTTCATCGTATTATATTAAAAGTGTGTCGATTACAATTATTAAAAGTGTTTCGGAAGTTCTAAATTCCAAAAAAATTATATTGACAAAGCATGGGTCTCTCACAAAATATTCGGGTGGAGGTGTGTCGCCTCCCTAACACATGGGTCCGCCCCTACTAAGATGACCATATCAAGTCCAAAATTTCTACTTTCTCGTAACCCTATCATCCAAATTTATGTAGTTGGTAAGTGAATCTGCACCTTGGAGTTCGAAAAAAGGATATTAATACGAGAAATTACGAACTATGAATCTTAAAGTTCATAAGAATTTTTGAAAGAAAACAGCTCTCTAATCGTGCATTTTCTCGTCGTTGGGGGTGGGGGGTCATTTCACGAAAACGTAACCCACTCTGTCTCTGGCCCAGCAGCAAAGTGCTGTAGGTGTAGGCTTAATATTGGGCGCTAATAATAATATCTCCTTTCGGTAATTTGGGCCCATACATAAAAGGCCAAGGCCGGCGGGGGCTCATCAGTTCATCACGAAAAGCTGGAAGTAGGGTTACAAAATCTTACGCTCATGCTAGGGTAATTACTAATTAGAGTCCATCATTAATTGGTAATTACAATCAAATCAGATACAGGTTTTCTTGTTCACCAGCTTTCGCATATTTTTCTCCTAATTAACCAACCTTAGTTCATCGGTCAGCTTTGACAGACTCAGAGAGCTAGCATTTCATGAACATACTAAGCATATATATAGAGGTACTGGACGAAGAGACTGAAGTCAAAGGATGTTGTATGTTCACTGTAAACCATTCGACGTAATTAACTAGTAGTTGAGTATATAAGTTGCATGTAGTGAATCTGCAGTCATACACATATGAATTATTAGATTCGTGTCATTTCAAAAATATCTAAGTTTAGATAAAATGGGCAAACAAATATTAGGTCTGTCGTCTATCATCGATCTTCACTCTCGAGGCCAAAAGTTCAAATCTCTTAAAGTACATTTAATACTAAAACTAAACATATGTAAAAAAAAAAAAAAAAACTTTAGAGAAAATGATAATGATTGAACAACCAAGTATATGAAAATGTTTATCTCGAGTACGTAGCTATAGGGGTGGCTGTACGGTCTGGTCCGGTTAAATTGGACCAAATTGATCTGGTCTCAGTTCGGTCTTTTCGGGAATATAAGGACCAAAGATTGAATTGGATACACTCCGGTCTTGACCCAGTCCGGTCCTAATTTGATTTTGATTTTAAATTGAGCTTGTGGGGATTTGAGTGTTGGGGTCTCTTATCCGGTCTTTATCCAGGTTTTTTTTACCTCAAATCTAAGCCCGAATATGAAATTGGATTGTTTGCTATCCGGTCCCAGTCTGGTCCCGATCCGGGTTATACGGTCCGGTTTCGGGTAAAACCAAACAGTCCTGGACCAAATTGCCAGCCCTACGTAGCTGTATGGTTCCTCAATACTCTCATCCCAAATCATTGTATGATGACTAGCTTGTCTGGTAAAAAAACAGCCCTACAAGGCTACAATGCGATTAACACAATTGAATAAACAGCGCCCTACACAAGCAGCAGACAGACACCACTAACCCCCAATTATAAAATATTTGATATGTACACAATTAGTAATGTGCGCAACATAATAGCCATTCAAAATCATTATATAATATTGTGCTCTGTTGACATATTTTTTAATATATGATTATTTGCATGAACATAAATGGAAAAATCCCCCTTAAATATTGTACACAAAGGTTACCAGATTTGGCAGGGTTTCCCAAATTTGAAAAAGTATTGGATCGAAGTCCAATTGCATGCCCATTTCTGCCATCGTCATTGCATACACAAAACCCATATTCGGGTATAAAATATGGAGCCATGAATTTGCTTTCCTCAACAGGCTCCACAGTCCACTTTCATACAAACCATAACGAAGCTTTCTTTTTGTTGACAATATAAAGCACAAACCAAACTTACTAATTAAATTGCTTTGGGACTACATATGAAAACCACACATAGACATACATATGATCACCATGACCACATTTTTCTAGTCAGTCTGCAATTCCACAGAAACAGACACAACCCTAGATAATTAGTAGAGTGACCCATCAACCAGATGTTCCATCACTTCTCTCGAGAAGGTTAAGATTACAATTCTTCACCTCTATCTTATTGGAAAGAAAGAGCAAACCCAAACATTAATAGAAAACTTAAGCAAACCCATGAGCTCCATATCAATTTTTTTTTAATCTCATGCATCATAATTAATGAAGCCCACAACAATAAGGTTATGATCAAGCTAGTCTTGTTGATCCTCAAACAAGTATCCCAGAGAAGAATTTCCTCCAGGAACTGACTTCACTTTTGTCGAGGGCCGATCCTGCAGGTAGTGGTGAAAGTATACAAAAATCAGTCATTAACAGCGAAGCTAGGATTTTGAGTATGGAGAAGATAGAAACAAAAAATTACAACATTTTGCTAAGGATCGGATCTACGTTTTGAATAACTGAAGCTAATAGATCTTCCTTTTTCTACTTCTTCTTCCAAGTTCAGGATAACTCCAAGAGCGTTTAGATCATCCTATCATTTTTTTGTTTAGATTTAATCATCCTAACATTTTAAATTATAATGTTTATCAATTAGCATAGTATATATACTATAATCTCAAACCTAATGTCGATGAAACTATAAGCTCTTCTAAACCATATGTAGCTCGGTCTTTGATAGTCATTAGCTTAGTAACTTCAAACAAATATTTGATTAGAAACTAAGATTAAGGTACAAATCTTGAGCTCCCAATCTCTCACATCATGATAAGGCAGGATTTATTCTTCATTTCTCATTAAAAAAAAAAAATATAGCAGAACTCACAGTGATGAAGTTGCCGGAATTCTGTCCCTGAGCCCTGGGGTAGTTGTTTGAAGGGGAAGGCTTCTGAAGATCCTTTCCCGGCGGTCGTTGGTCAGCAGTCAGCGGCGGCGCGTGAAGATCATCACGATCAGGCGCCTGCATCATTTCTAAGTCAACTCCGTAGGGCGGGAGGTTGACCGGCTGCCGGGAAGGAGATGGTCGCTGTCCTTGAGGTGGTTCTTTCTCGCCGGACCCGAAAAGGTAGCCCAGGGAGCTCTGCCCGCCGCCGTAGCTCCCTCCTCTGCTCATTCCTGCGGCCTCACTCTTGAATTCGGATCTGCTAAACTAATTACTTGTTAATGTTATTTTATTTTACCACAAGAAGGGAAGAAGAAGAACCCTAGGATGGATTGATTTATAGAGTTGGAGAAGAGATATGTAAACAAATGTGGGTACAGTCCAGTAGGGACTTTGTTTCTGTTTTCTGAATGATTGGTAGTGATTAGGTTTGTGTTTGTCTGCTTTTTCATCATGACTTTTTTCGCATATTTTTAGATATATCTTATTAGAGAGAGGCAAAACCCATAAAGCTAGCCATAATAGTGGATGAGTTGATCTCAATAATTTGAGTATTGCTGGAAAAAGAAAGAGGTAATTATTGGCTTGGTTATTTGGTTGGGTTTCTAAGTTAACTAGCAAAAAGTAATTTATGTTCATTAAATATGTTAGGCTAAAAATTTATGAAAAATTCCGGAAAAATTAGGAACATTTTAGTAGTTTAGGCATATCTTTTTGTGTTCAGTGGATTCGACTAGTACGTGTGATGCCCAGTTTTTTCATTACTCAGTCTAATTAACTTTATATTTGACCATTTAAATGAAATATTCACTATTAGTGAGTAATGACTTATCAATGGGGTGGTGTATCCTAAGAAACTAACCACTAGCTATATGGTGGATTCACAATTATTTACCCTAAGAACAAACTATTAACATAATCAACTTTAAGAAATTTTGTCATGTGGAGGAATCTAAGGAAATTTTTGGACAGGATAAGAATCCAACGACAACAACCCTAAAAGACTACTATATAAAGGGGTAGCTAGAAATTTATCAGAATAAAATATTAAACAAAAAGTGACAGAACCACTGTTGCAGCTTATCAATCTCAAAGACAAAAGAAGGTGGTTATTAGTAATCATAGTCTCTGTTGGTCGGGCTACCTATATTAATTATAGATACTCTTTATTTGTTATTACTCTAGCGATGTCAACCATGTATATAGCTTTTGATCTCTTGTTTAATTTTATTCCTTTTGCTCGATTGTCTTTGGGCTACTTTCAATTTAATTCAAGTCCAACTGTCCAAGAAATAGCAACTCAAGTTAGAAAGAAGGAGAATAGAACTTCTATGTGATTCACTTTTGAACTTCTTAGCAAAAAATGTCGACTAGGTATTAATAACATTATCCCCATTAGGTGCAACTAACGATTCAGGTATATTCTAATAAATATGCATGAAGTACTTATTGCTATAATATATAATTATGTTTGACAATTCTTATTTAAAAAGTTCATCATCAAGGATGTAGACAACCTTGGGTACGATAACGGGTCGTTTGGATCCGGAAATGTGCTCTGAAAAATTTCTGGCCGAATTTCCTTATTAAAAATCTCGGAAACTTAAAGTGTCGGTTTTCAACAATTATTTTCATTGTTTATGGCCCCATAATTTATTAGCCAACAATTTAATTTTTCATAGAAAATGACAAAATACAACTTTGCCCTTTTCTACTCCTCTTCTTCGCAAATACCCTCCGACCTGTCTCATGTTGCTCCTCTCATCATTTGGTGCCTTCAATCGTATCTCCCCAGCAATTTCTTCCTTTCGCCTCCCGACTCCCCCAATCTGAACCCTAATTTTGTCGAACTCAAAACTCAGAACTATTGCATGCCAATTTGCAACTTGCCAGCCTCGAAGAACCCCAAATCTGGATGGATGACTTCTCTCACCGGAGCTTGCCACATGCCTGGAAGAACCCTCCCATCGGCTGGAATTAGACGAATCGTTAGAGGTAGATTAATTTATAGGGGATTTGACAGTACAACAGTCCTCAAAGTCTTTCGGAAACCCCAAAAGCCATAATGAATGATGAAGATGGTTGGTAACCATAGAACCTCTATGCTATGAAGCCCAAAGCTTTGTTTAAAGACGAGGAACGGAGAAACCAGAACCCATAACAATGTATGCCTCCAGCGGGAGCTCCAAATCTTGTCAGAGGAAGAAGCATCCACCGTCGTCCCACCTTTTTTACTCATCGGAGGAGTAGAGACGTGGATGGCCGATTGTTCCGTTGGCGCCTTGGCGGTGTTCGTGAATAGTGGATTGGAAAAGAGGGAAGAAGGTGAAGGATAAGATTGGAAGATACAAAAAGGAAACCATAGATTTTGAAATAGTTGGGGGTAATCAGCTATTTTGAAATTCCTAATGAGCGGAATTTCAAAATCTCTGATGATTAAAATCTATTGATTTTTGGAGTCTTTCCCAATGCATAAATCTGAAGAAATCCTGGAAGGATAGGAATTGTGGCAGAATCTCTGCCTAAACTTCCTAATCCAAACGACCCTAAGTATTTTTTGGTATATATGTCAAGAATGTTCGTTTTGTGGATTACAAGAGACTCAATTACATTCATCTCAGGATTGTGAATGAGCTAGTCTTATTTGGTGGGTCTCAGTCACCTTTAGCATTTGTTCCATTTAGGATATGGAGCAGGTTGTGTGTTCTTGGTTGGTCTCAGTCACCTTGGGACTTTCATGTGCTTTCTATGGAAGGAACGAAACAACCAATTATTCAATAATTCCAAGCTTGATTGAAGAGTGGGACTTTGTGGTGAAGTCAACAAACTACCACATTGAGTATAAAAAGCACCAACAAATTTCGATCGTCGATGCGGCCTCCCCTAGTTTGACTATGAAGATGAGGAAATGGGAGAGGTGGTTGGTTGGGCACTACAAGATCAATATCGATATTTTCATCTTGACGAATCAGGGAACGATGTTTGTTGTTGTGATCCGAGACTGCAGGTAATTGTGTCCTCACATTGGTGCGTACGAATGTATCCAATGGGGAACATTGATTGCAGAAGCTCGAGCTTTACTCATTTGCTTGGAATTGCTCGAGGAGCACCATCTTCGTCTAATGATGCTACAGAGTGATAGTCAAACTTTATTGTGGATTTGGATCGAGAAGCACACAATGAAGACGGAAGGAGTTTGTGAAGAGATGAGAGAGACAATGAAGCGAATTGGAGAGGCTAAGTGGACTTTTGCTAGAAGAAAGTGTAATGCAGCTGCTTATTTGATGATCCACACTGTGGGTCGTTTGGATGAGGTATTTGAGTGAGTTATTTGAGTCGTTTGGACTCAAATAACTCGTTTAGCAGCATTTTAATCAAATGAGTTATTTGGGCTGTGATTTATTTACTATACGAGATATTTCGAAAAAGCATAGAGACAAAACTAGTTATTTCGAAATAACTCATTATTTCACGTGTGTATGGTTCAACCAAACGAGATACTCTAATCCAATTACCACTAAAATAATATCAAAATACCACATGAACAATTAATGAGTTATTTGACTCTACTAATAATTGACAATTAATTCATTAAATGACCCCAATGTTTTGGATAGTCAATAGATTCGGGTCGATAGAGCCCTATTTTCCTGCTACTGGAATTGTGGGATGATTGTGCTTGCACATTTATGAATTAAAATAGGGTTTATACCTTAGTTTGGCCCGAACTATACTCATACTTTCTACTTTGGCCCGTGGTATTGAAAATTGCTACTATGGCCTGAACTATGTAGCAAACTTCCTCATTTGGCCTGGAGGCGGGTTTGACCGTTAGTCAATGTACACCTCGTCTGCCACGTCAGCTTTGAAGAAATAAAAAATTAATTTTTTAATTTTTTCCTTTCGATTAATAATATTAATAATTCTTATTACAAAAAAAATAATAACTCTAAAAATAATAATTAAAAGAATGGAAAAAAGCCAAACACGAATGCGGATCTCGACACGTTCCGACTGTCTCTTCTTTTCAATATCCTCGACTGTCTCTTCTTCGAATTCCTGATTGTCGTCGCCCTGATCATCTTCAACGGCCGCAGAAGAAACCACCTTCTCTTCACAAACACCAAACTCCCTGCAACTCTCCTCTGTTTCCTCAATTCCAGATGGCTTCTTCTCAATTCCACAAACGCATTCATCCAAACCCTTTACAAGCACAGATTTCGCCTCCTTCGTAACATCATCGCTCTTCACAACAACAACACCGACCTTCGATTCCAATTTCACCGGCGAATTCACAGCTTCTTTCCCTGAATTGCCAACGGATCTCACCTTCCCAATATGAATTGGGGAAACAATGGAAACTCCTTCAGATCACCCCTTCTTGCTCACCTGAACGGGACTCCTCACAATTCCCTCGTTACTCCCTTCATATCTCAACTTCCTCCCCTAAATTGGCGATATCTTGACTCCATCGGCTGACACACTCAATCTCGCCAGCTGAGTTGGACCCTCGAAGTTCTCCGACTTCCACGTCTTCCTCTTCCCGTTGCTCGCCACCATTCCCGCTGCGAGGTTCCTCGGCGACCTCCTCGAGGGAAGAAATTGGTTTCGGAGAAGGGATAGGGATTCCTTTTTTCCCGATTTTTTGTGAGGGGGGAGGGTATAAATGGTGGTTGGTGGCTTTTTTCATTTTTTTCGTTCTTTTAATTAATTTTGTAGAGTTATTTTTTAATATTATTAGTCGAAGAAAAAAAATTAAAAAAAATAATTTTTTATGTCCTCAAAGCTGACATGGCAGGTGAGGTGTACATTGACTAACGGTCAACAGGTTTGACCGTCTAATTTGACGGTCAACCCCGCCTCCAGGCCAAAGGAGGAAGTTTGCTACATAGTTCAGGCCATAGTAACAATTTTCCATACCACGGACCAAAGTAGAAAGTATGTGTATAGTTCGGGCCAAACTAAGGTATTAACCCATTAAAATACTATATCGAAGACCAGTAAAAAAAGTTCTTCACACCAAATTTTTTTACTTTTGGTGTAATCTGAAGAAGTGACGTAGCTCAAAATTCTAGAAAAATATATTTGAGCTCCCCCTTAAACATCCAATCACTGTAAGTTCATGAGAAAACCCTTTGGATTACATATAGAATGATCCAAGGGTCTTAAGTTAACTCCAATAATTAAGTAGGTACAAAAGTTAGTAATTCCTTAAAACCGGAACAAGACATTGTTGGCCCATTTTTATGGAATTCTGTGGCCCTTCTTGCGCAGTATATAGCTAAAATTCTATATAAAAATTAAAAAATATAGCTAAACGAAGAAATTAAGGAGATTCCAACAAGAAACTAAAAAAAGTGTGACAGTACCTCACTATCTTAAGGAAAAGTCCATTCCAATGAGCGACTGGCAGTTGGTGCTACTGTGAGTTATGCCTCAGTGTAATCAATTCATTGTTGTTTCAGACAGATATATGTGGGATTGGCCATTAACCCACCATCTCTATCTGCTAAAAAGGAACACTTAATAGATTGCTAGACATGGTGGTTTTAACTTTTAAGAATAGCTATATATTCATCCATGAAAATAGTTTGTGAGTAGTTGCTATCATCACTACCTAATGCAAATTATGTTGATGAACATAAATGGTTCACCATGACATCGGTTCCAAGTGTGAATAGAAGGTAGGTTTACTTGTTCATACATCCTATGTTACCACGGAATAACGTAATTAGTACAAGATGAATACTAGTTAGTAAAAATTGGCATCTGCAATTTCATAGAATAATACGTGATAATGATATGATTCGACGTTTTTGCCACACAATTGTATTGCTAGCCTGTAACAAACTCAAGTCTTTATAATACTTTTATTCTCTCATCGTTCGTTCAGATCTCTGGCTTCACCATCATCAAACACCCAACCCACATAGGTGTGTTTGTTCAGCAAGTATACCAGGCCCATGCATTGATCATAAAAATAAAAAGTACATGTTACCACCAAATGACTCCACCTTAATGGGACCATAATTATCAAAACATGTTAGCTGATCAAGTTTAGTCTTCCTTTGTGCAAAGGGAGTATATATCAAAGAAACTCCACGATGCTTTCTTACTAAGCAACTACCAAGAGTGTCGAGTAAATACCCTTTTATGCAACGGGAAAGAGAGGATTATCTCTACACAGTTTCCAACCCTTATTACCAATAGTAACACTGATTGGAATTTGGAAGTCCAACAATTATAATTGTGGTAATGACTATCATTTTCGGTTCTCAATGTGATCTCTGATTTGCTGTTGTTATGGGACAATCCAAGTACCACATCGGTTATATAAGGGAAGGAACCCTTGTATATTAGTGTCCACCAATCTCATTAGTACGAGGCATTTTGGGGAGGACACCCAAGAGTAAAACCGTGCGGGCTCGGCCCAAAGCTGACAATATCGTACTAATGGGCTGCCCAGTTATGACAAGTGGTATCAGAGCCTGGTTCCGTGTGGGGCGGTGGACGTCAGTTCGGTGGACCCTCGCTCGGTGACCTCGGGATTTGAGATTCGCATCTGGTTTGGTGGATCCAGGAGAAATCCACGTTTGGGCTTGGCGGATCAAAGAGAGTTTTGCGTCTGGTAAAGTCCTTGTACCGAGAAGCCCATCGATACAAGGCGTCTGGCGGATCAAGATAATCGCTGAGGTGAGGACACGATGTTCGTGGTCCTTGGCTTGAGGGGAGGATTGTTATGGGACAATCCAAGTACCACATCGGTTATACAAGGGAAGGAACCCTTGTATATTAGTGTCCACCAATCTCATTAGTACGAGGCCTTTTGGGGAGGACACCCAAGAGTAAAACCGTGCGGGCTCGGCCCAAAGCGGACAATATCGTACTAATGGGCTGCCCAGTTATGACAGCTGTAATTATCTGATGCTGTAAGATCTGCCTATTCACAGGCTGGGAATGAATGAATATATCACTTGTTCAAA